CTCATATCTTTGGATCCTATTTCCAGCCTTTGAAGATTTCTCATACTTTCTTGAAAGTTCAGACATGCATGTTAAAACATTTTTATATCATATCCAACTTTTTTAGGTATTTTGTTATCAGGAAGGTCTTACTGCAATTCGTTAACATTACACCCAACCTCTACACTTGGAATTGCTTCCTGTTATGTCTGTCAGTGCTTACCTTCTAGCAGCTGTTCTGTTCATTTGGAACCCGTTCCATCTTGTTTCTTTCCATCCCAGATCCAGTGTACTTACTGGGAATCTCCTGTTCTCAAATCCATGGGGAACAGTTCAATCCTGAAGCTCTGCTAATTAATGGGACTCCTACTCTTTGTTAGACTCTTAGGCAGTAAAACTATTTTGCATAATAAACATCTTTCCTCAAAACTACTAGTATGTTGCTTGTAGACTGTGAACTTCATTATGGGGTGAGGGTAGGGGTGGGGGAGGACTGGGATTGCTTTTAGATTCCCAGAGAGGAATACAAAGATTCTGATGAGTTAAAGAGTGTCTGTTCTGGTCACAAGAATGAAACATTACTGCATGTGTTCTTGCATTTGCTTTCTTGGCCTTGTGCACTTGGCTTTGGACCAATTTACTCTGACCTTGAATAGCTTACTTTTCCTGTTACCTCCCATTTCAGTCTTTCTTGTTTTTGCCTAGCCCCAGTAGGAGAATGAAAGAACAGAATGTTTTCATCTTCTGCAGAATGAAGTGAGCTCAGATTTTCAAAGTATGACCAGAGAAAGCCTCACTCTAGCTTATTAGAGATGTTTCGAATCATGTGAATGTAAAATTTGATTCTGTAAGAGTAATTTGTGAGCAGTTGAGAAAAATCCTGAGAGGAAAATTTAAAAAAAGTCATCCTCCCCTTATCACTCTTACTGACTTTACCACTCAGAAACTAGTAAGGTATTAAGAGTGGAAGGGGCAGGAAGAGAATAACCAAATAATTTATAAGCAAACTAGAGGCCTGGTGCAGGAAATCCCTCAGCCCGGCCTGTGCCCTCTCTCAGGCCGGGATCCCTCAGGGGATGTGTGACTGATGGCTTAGGCCAGCGGGCTTAAGCCATCAGTTGGATATCCTTAGTGCTGCCAGGGAGGCGGGAAAGGCTCCTGCCACCACCACTGCACTCGCCAGCTATGAGCCTAGCTTCTGGCTGAGCGGCGCTCCCCCTGTGGGAGTGCACTGATCACCAGGGGGCAGCTCCTGCGTTGAGCTCTGCCCCCTGGTGGTCAGTGCGCTTCATAGCGACCAGTCATTCCACCATTTGGTCGATTTGCATATTAGCCTTTTATTTTATAGGCTATTGTATAGCCCCGTGGTCAGCAAACTTCGGCTCTTTGGCCCCTTGAGTGTGGCTCTTCCTAAGCCTTAGGAGTACCCTAATTAAGTTAATAACAATGCACCTACCTATATAGTTTAAGTTTAAAAAATTCGGCTCTCAAAAGAAATTTCAATCGTTGTACTGTTGATATTTGGCTCTGTTGACTGATGAGTTTGCTGACCACTGGTATAGCCCATGGACACAGACAATAGACAGGTGAAGACCTGGGGTGGAGTGGGCTAAGGAGTTAATGAAAACAAATGTTTTCTGTAACCCAAATGTTGACAATTTTTGAAGTTGGGACAGAGTTGGAAGGGTTCTAATGAGCTGATCTTCTTGAGGATTATCTTGACAATTAGTCATTCACTCAGCTGGGCTTGTAGAAGGCAGAAGAGACTGCAGGAACAAGTTAGGTTGAGAGATGTTCGGTTTTAGGGTGGGGGGTAGTTTTTATTTTGAGCAGATAGAGATGTTCTTTGGGTCTCTGGCAGCCTGCGTGTGGTGCCCTGGAGAGAGGAAATATGGTATGGGCTGATAATAGGAGTCTTGCCATGCAGATATTATTTCTAGAGAAGGCTTTCAAGTAAACGCTTCTTCCTGTATTAACTTTTTCAGGGGAGATGTTCGGACGCCTTTCTTTCCCTTTTGTATTGAGTTGTCCAGGTTGGTGCATGTGGGACAATTAGAGTCGGAGTTGAAAGTGCAGAGGGAGCTCTGGGGGAGTAGCAGCCCTCTGGATGCCAGAAGAGGAAGCCTTTAATGAGCTCCTTGTTTTGCTCCAAAGACTTTGGAATTGATTGTTCAGTTCACTTTAACTTAGAAGCCTTGCCTTCACTTTGATATGGTGTAAAGGGGAGGCAATCCCAGGGGCTCCGTGCTGGACATATGCAGCAGCAGCTGTTACTCTGTGTTTTTTGGCTCACGCCCCCTGGCTTCCCACATCCACAGTCCTGCAGGTGCCTGCTGTCTGCCCCATCCTTTTGGTCCCTGGTGCTTGATCTACACCATTTCCAGGCGGCTTGGCCCTCCTCGGAGACAGACATCAATGGCAAAGATCAGAGTGGACTGGCTTTTGAAGAGGTTTGGCGAACTCTGCTTTGCAAACCTGCTGAGAGATGTGGTGTTCCTTTCATGTTTCCTTTCTGTCTGTGTCCAGAGGGCAAAGGGAGGATCTTCACGTGATGGGGGCTATTGATGTTGGTTGCAAATTCATTTCAGATTAATTTCTACATTTTTTTTTTGGTCCCAGGCCTCTAACAGCCACTGGAGTCCCTTGATCTTGACATTGCTCTAGCAAGGCTGCCAGGGAGCAAGGAGAATAATTTCTGTGCACTCCCAAACACAGGAACAAAGGAACAGTCCTCATTCATCAGGGGATTGTACTAAATGCTGTTCTGAGTTCTTGCCTTTGCATAATATTGGGTCCTGGTAGTGGTGTGAAGATAACAGGAGGGTACTAGTTATCTAGTTAAGCTTCTAGTGATCCCTCCTTATGCAACCATAATGCATTTCTTGACTCTCCACTGTATGCCATACACTGGGGGGGAGGGAGGGTTCCAATTATTTCCTATTCTTACAACAACCCTAAGAGATAGTTGGTTGTCTTTGTCTTATAGATTTAAAAAACACAAAAAAACCTGAAACTAAAATGTAACTAAATTCCATGTGAGGTCTGTGTATGTGAGAGGCCTTTGGTCTACTGAGTCTAAAGGCTCTTCTCACTCATACCAGTGAGCCCAACTCAGCTGGCTTGTTTTACATTGAGTCTATGGGTGCTTTCAGGGTATAATGCAGAGCGGGGTCCTTTTGACAGAGAACAGAGGGCCCACAGAGCAGAAAATATTGTAATACCTGGACCTGTAAGAAAAAGGTTGGTTAGCACAACTGAGAGTGCCCAAGCCTTTATTTAGCAAATAGGACCGTTTTCTGCCTGCACGTTGCAGGTGTAAAACCCAGAATCTGGCATCGATCTGTCCGTCTCGCTTTTCACCCCCACTTTTCACTTCCCTTTATCTTGCACATATTTTTGTTATGATTTTGTGGAGAGTAGTGGCTTTTCCCTCGGAGTCTAAATGGCAGCTGGTAATGGTTTGATTTATTTATTTAGAGATTTCCTGTCAGAGCCTTGTAATAGATTGTTTGAGACTCTAAATGGTTTCGTGAAGCGTCAGTTTTTCAGCGGGTTTTTCTTGAGGGGAAAAATATCAGATAATGTAACAGTGCAATGACTTAGCAAGCCCCACCGCTTTCATTTTGAAAGGGGGAAACATTTCTGTGTTTTTGTGTGATGTTAGTAGACTATTACGTGGGCAAATTCCAGCCAAGGTGGATTTGAAGAAATATTACTGTCAGTGTTATACTCCTCAAGCTTACTTGGAGGTTTGCCTAGGAGGAGGTCAGTTGTAAGGCAGTAGTTTGCAAATGTCAGTGTGTATAAGAAACACTTTTGATGATTCTTTAAAAAAATAAAAATAGATTCCCAGACCCTCAGCCCCAGCTGTAGATGCTTCTGAGGCTCACAGGCAACAGTTGGTTTGGGGAGTGGAGCCCTGGCTCACTGCTGGGATTCTAGGTCATTCGAATAAAGATATTATCCAGCACTCCTTTTAAAATTCTGGTTCCGTTTCTCTTGGAATGTGTTGCTGTAGCTGTAAGTTTTAAATGTTTATTTAAGTAAAACAATAATGGGAAAATCACATTGCTGTAAATGTTGAACTACTTTCTATCACTATCTCTAAGAATGACATATTTTCTGTTGTACGTTGTGCTTTGTGGCTACAGAATTCCTCACCATGCACATCTCATTTTATTTTATTTCTTTCCTTTTTATTGAATTTATTGGGGTGACTCTGGCTAACAAAATTATACAGGTTTCAAGTGCACAATTCTACAACACATCATCTGTGCACTGTATTGTGTGTTCATCACTCCAAGTCGAGTCTCCATCCATCACCATTTATCCCCCTTTTACTCTCCCCTACCTCCCTCATCCTCCTCATTTTATTTAAATGTCAGCTCTTGAAACAAACGTGGCAAGTAGTATAGTTTTCATTTATCAAATGAGAAAATCGAGATTTAAAAAACAAGTGATGCCCTGGCCGGCTTGGCTCAGTGGATAGAGTGTCAGCCTGCAGACTAAAGAGTCCCAGGTTTGATTCTGGCCGAGGGCACATGCCTGGGTTGTGGGCTCGATCCCCAGTAGGGGGTGTGCAGGAGGCAGCCGATCAATGATTCTCTCTCATCATTGATGTTTCTATCTCTCTTTCCTTCTTTCTTCCTCTCTGAAATCAATAAAGAAATATATATTTTTTTTAAAAAAACCAAGTGATGTTTCCACCAACAGTACAGCTAACAAGCAGTCCATCTAGAAGTCCCATATTCTGCTTCTAATTTCAAGTCCTGTGTTCCATGCAGAGCACCAATTTGTCCTCATGACACCCGTTTTGATTTTTAGAGGAAAATATAATCACTTATAACTCACTGTGTTCTCACAGGAAGGATGAGCTATCCATAATTAAATATTTGGTAATCTCCCGTCGGTGACTCGAGGTGGAGGGAGGTGGTCACAGGTGTATACAGATTGGTGAGTCAGTTGTCTTTATAGAACATTCCTAAGCATGGAAGAAGAAAGCTCTCTCCTCTCTTTGACAGAAACTTTACAAGACGGGTCGGGAGATGCAGGAGCGAATCATGGACCTGCTCGTGGTGGTGGAGAATGAAGACGTAACTATTGAGCTCATTCAAGTGAATGAGGATCTGAATAATGCCATCCTTGGCTATGAGAGGTGAGCAGACGGTGCAGTCTCTTCAACCCTCCTCCAAGTCTGGTTTCACCACCAGTTACTCAGTGTTCTTATTAGAGGGCCTGCAAGGTGAACACTCAGGAAGATCAAGAACAGGTTCAGAACAAGGCCGCCTTCCTCCCAAGATAGGGATCTTGGTCCTGGCCTTCTGGGAGCCTGTGATACGGCCTGCGAGAATGAGCAGTGCTGGGCTCTCGAATAGATGAGTGCTATAAACAAAGTCTCAGGGAATGTGAAGTTGACCTTGAGTTTGAGATGGAGAAGAATATGGGAAGGGAAGGGAAGGGGAAGGAAAGCGGGGGGAATATCTTATGTGGAGAAAATAGTCTGTGAAAAACCAGAGCAGCCAATGAGGAAATTTTTTATGTGAACGTATAAAAATAGTTGTGCAAATAAGGAAATGGAACTTTGTTGCTCAAGGCTGGACCTGTGAAGGGTGTTCATACTCGGCACACACTAGCCTATAAGAAGCCAATGGCAGAAGTCGACGGGAGAAAAATCACGTGTTTTAGAAAGGGAAAAATCCTTAAAACTAAGTGCATGGTTCAATGAACTGGAAACTTTTCAACTTTAAAGTGTTTAGGTTCACAGAGTTGATGTGTCATAGAATTAATTCCATGTTTCTAAAGCCTCTCTGAGCTTGCAAAGCATTTCCACATTCATCCACCTGTATTATCTACTGACATCTTACCCCTGAGAAAAACTTTCTGATGAAGTGGTTGAAATAAGGATCGGGAAGTCATATCCAGGGTCATATGGCTATTTGACAATAATGCTGGTACTTGAACCTTGTGCTTCTACCTTCAACTTTTACTATTTTTTCAAAGCCATTACTTTGTTTATTTAACTACTCCTCCTTTACCCCCAATGTATGAGAAGTATAAAATTTTAAAACATTATAAAAGCTCAATATTGTTAGTAGGTATCAAATGTCTTATAAAAATGAAGATAGTGAAAATACAATACATGCATTTAAATCTTCAATGGAAAATTATAATGGCAAAACTGGAGACACCTTAAGTATTTGGGAATAATAAGACAAGTGAAATATGTGGCACGCTCATAAGGTAAAATATGCAGCCACTAAAAATTGAACTTCTGAATAACTAGAAAAATCCTTGCAAAGTAATTGAATTAGGAGACAGAAATATGTAAAGTATAATTTCTATTAAGTTTGAAATAGATTAGCCTCCAGAAAAACATATGGGAGGAAATACATTGTAATGTTAAGGACAGTTTCTAGGTGGTAGAAATGATTAGGGACCATTTCTAGGGATGGAATTTTATTATTTTTAATACTTTTCCATATTCTTGCTCTTTTCTCAAAAGGCATCATTCATTACCTCTATAAACTGAAAAAAACGTGATTAAAGTACTTTACTGGGAATTGAGTGGTGATGAAGCTTGTTGTCTTTGTTCCTAAATATTTGCATATTAACCTGAATTTGCATATTCCCATTTTCTCCACATAAGATATTCCCCCTTCTTCCCTTCCCATATTGTAGCATTTTCTTGTCCATTTTCTTTTCAATGTTTCCATGTTGCTAATTCAAACAGGTTTACTCGAAACCAACAAAGGATTTTGGAGCAAAATAATCAGAGAGAAGACACCAATGTAAGTGAATAGAAATGTTATAAACTACACAATTGAATAGTTTACAAATTGTATAGTATGGAGCAAGGCTTATGTTAAAATAACTCTTAAAAAAGAGGAGACTCATTCCTTAATAATTGGGGTGGTTTTGGTGGTATAGAGTACTTGCCTCCATAACTTGATGTCATCAAATTACTAATAAGAGGTCATTAAAAGATGCTCTAATTAAGCAGGAACCCATGTAGAGAGTGAGATGTAATTAGTACTCATGTTGTCTATGGAATGGAGAATTCTCCCTCAAGATGCATTCAAATAGGATCTTCTTTTCTCCAAAGGAAAGCTTCCAGGGAGAAAGCCTAAGTGATAAAAGACCTGCCAAAGTTTTTCCAAATTATGTTTGTGTTTGCTTTGTTTTCAGGCCGCAACGGAACCTTCTGCCCCATCCTGTGATCTTCTTGACCTAAGTCCCAGCACTCCGAATCATAGGGCTACTCTGGAAGAGGTCAATGCCATGAATGCTCAGCTTTCACACTTAAGTAAGCAAGCATGCGGGGCTTTTAGGCCAGCAGAAGAGCTTAAGGTGAAACAGATCTCCTTGGTTTCATGATTAAGTGCAACCAGAGAAGGACTGGCATCAGTCTGAATAGCAGGACTATATCAGGAGATGTAATTATTTCTTGGCCAATGTTCGTTGGGTCATGCCCAGCACGGGAAAGGGATGTGACTGGGGGAGGAGGTCCTTGAAACTCATCCCACTGGCTTAGAATCTCCTGTAATTCCCATGGCCTACTTTGTAAAGGTTGTTCAGTTCCATGGCCCGTACTTAAGTCTCCTCTGAACCCACACACTATTGTCTTTGGGTTTCTCTGCCATACTACAGCATCAGATAAGGGAGTATTTGATGTAGAGAAATTCAGGAATTGTGAGGCCTTGTCCATATGGTGGCGAAAGGTAGAGGAGGAAACACTGCCTTTTGAGTCAGAGGAGAGTCCAAGTTGAAATCCTAGTTCTGCCACCTCTTAGTCACCTAACCTCTGAGACTTTCCTACCTTATCAAGTCAGAACAATGGTTATTTTAATGGGTTTCTGTGAAGGTAAAGGAATAATGTTTATAAAATGAAATGTTGGCTTGGGGTTACCTATCTTATCTATTTTATTTGTTACGTCCTACTATTCTATCAAAAAATCTGGGTAAATTACAAAATAAGGATAATGAGAAATGCTAATGTCCAGTAGCTTTTGCCAAACTGAAATCAGTTTGTTTTTCTATATTAGGAGGCTTTTCCAGAATATTTGGTATCACTGAATTTGTGGTTTTCTTGTAACTTCCTTCATTTCTGAAATGTTGGCTGCTTGCTTAGTAGACCAGTGGGATGTGTGGAGTTTATTTCATTAAAAAATGTTCTTACATTTTTATCAGGCATTTGCCGGGGGCAAGCGGGGGGAGGAGGGGGGATAGTTACTTTCTTTCAGGTGTCTCACTTAACATGGGAAGTTAAGAATTTGGGGAGGTCAGGGTAGAGCTCTGTATATACAATAGATTTTTCCTTTGGAAGTTGGCAGAACAAGACATGCAAAATCTCATCCATTCCTGATCAGCTTGGGATTTGAGAAAATCCAGCACAATAACATTTGTCACCTTCTCAACAACCTCTCCTTGTGGCAGGGAATTTCTCTCTTCCCAGTTACTCTAAACGAGGCTCTTTAATTTCTGTTTGAGGAAATTCCATAATTTTATGGTGACAGAAATCTCTCTCTCTCCTCTTACCCCCCCGCCCCCCATCCCCCATGGAAAGGCCAACAGAAAAGTTACCGACAAAATGTTTCAAGGCAAACAACAAGTCCATTTTGTGTCCTAGGTTTCAGCTCTCCAACTCCTGTGATAATGAACAGCTTGCAGCCCAGTCCTCGCCCACAAATGGATCTGCTAGCCTTGGAAAACACAGACACAGCCATGTAAGTATGTCCGTCATACTCCAGAACCAACACCTCCTCTTTCTGACTCCTCATATTCCAGAAAGCATGACACAGTAGGAAAACCAGAGACTTGGGAATCAGACAGACCTGAGTCAGGACCTCAGCATGCTGCTTCCTACTAGCTCTGTGACTTTGGATAAGATACTTACCCAGCGTGAGCCTTCCGTTTCTTCGAAGAATACTTCCTAGGATCTTACAAAGATTCTGTGAGATGCTGTATGTTACCTCCTAATATAGCACTTGGTAGGTAATAAGCCTTCAGTGAGTTGTCTCTGTATCTGTTCGTTTTAACGTAGTAACAGGAAGTAGAGGAAATACAATGACAAAGGAAGGAGAAGGGAAATGAGGTTCAGAATCATGAAGAGTAACGGCCACACCAGTAACCAAGGACTTGCTATGTGCCAGGTGCTTTGCTAAGCTGTTTTGTTCATTTCATTTAATCCTTGCCAAAGTTCTTGGGTCAATGCTGTTACCATTATTCTCATTTTATGGGAGGAAAGGCTGAAACTTAGGGAATAGAACTTGTCCCAGTTCATATAGCTATTGAGTAGCAATTCTAGCTAATAGCTGCTTATTGTACTCTGTGATCTCATGGGTCTTCTTATGCATGAAGATCACTTAGGTGGCTCTGGCCACCTAAATTCTGATTCAGCAGCAGAGGCAAAACAAACCATCCTAATGTCTTATGGTCTTGAGATTTTTCCACCCCTCTGTGTTTGCAGTATAATGTGTTTATCACAGAACACATGAGTGCTGAAATTATTCATAACAGAAAGGATAAAAAACAGTGATGAAGGGATAAAGTCATAGGTCGTATTTATAGCCACTACCATCAGGCAACAGGCTAAGAAGAATAAGAAATGCCTATTAATTTCTTAGAAGTGCTCCCAAAAGGCCTGAGGTAGGTACCCCATCACTCTCATGTTACAAATGAAGAAAATAAGGTTACCCAACTAGTGCATACATGGGATTCAAAAGGGTCTGATTTGAGTGCCTGCTCTCTTTTTTATTTCTGAGCTTTAATTTTTTTTTTTAAATTTCCTTATGATAAAATTGATACCCAACCCTTTTTAATGTACAGTTCTAGGATTTTTAACATATATATAGATTCAGGTAACCATCACCAAAATAACTCCCTTATGTCGCAGTTCTTGAAAAGATTGTATAAAATTGGTGTTTGCTTCATGTATTTTGAAGCTCTGTTATTAAGGGCATATGCATTTAGGATTGTTATATTTTCTTGGTGAATTGACCCTTTTATCATTATGTAATGTCACCCTTTGTCCCTTGTAATTTTCTTTGCACTGATGTCTACTTTGGTATTAATACGGCAACTCTAGCTTTCTCTCAATTGGTGTTTGCTTGCATCGTATATCTTGTTCCACCTTTGTTCTTTTAACTATACCCAAATATTTGAAGTGAGTTTATTGTAGATAGCAAATAGTTGTGTCATGCATTTTCATGTATTCTCGTAATTCCTGTCTTTAATCGGTATGGTTAGACCATTTCCATTCAATGTAATTATTATGTTTGGAATAAGATCTATGATTGTGTAATGTTTTCTCTGTGTTCCTTTATCCCCCCCTCTGTTTCCTGCATACTTTGAATTATTTGAATATTTTTTTCAGCATTCCACTTTACCTATTGTGATTTTGACTGTATCTTTGTATAGTTTCTATATGGGGGCAGGAACTGATTACTCTAGGGATTGCAATATACATAACTTTTAAGTCTACTTAGAAACAGTATTTGGCCATTTGAAGTGAAATGTGGAAGCCTTATCACCATATAGATTCCCCCATTTAAATTATAGTTATCATAGATATTACATATGTATACATTGGAGATAAAAACTATCACTAGACAATATTATAATTTTGCTTGCAACCCACAAATACAGGGTGTCCCAAAAAATGTATACACACTTTGAATCATTATTAACTCCAGTGGGTTAAATCTGAAAAGAAAGAAACATCAAATGAACTGTCAGCTGTTAGTGTGTATACATTTTTTAGGGACACCCTGTATATTTCAAAAAACTCAAGAAGAGACAAATAGTCTATTATATTTATGCAATATTTACCATCTCTGTTGCTCCTTTATTTTCTCCCAGGATAATTTCCCTTCTCTCTGTAGAATTTCCTTTAGCCATTCTTTTAGAGCAGGTTTATCAGAAGCGAAAATCTTAAGTGTTACTTCACTTGAGTATGTCTTATTGAATATTTGTTCCTGAAGGATATTTTCACTGGATATAGAATTCTGGGTTAACAGTTCATTTTTCTTCCGGCAGTTTTTAAACATTGTTCTACTGTCTTATGACCTAAATGATTTCTAATGAGAAACCTACATTCATTCAAAGTGTTGTCCTCTATAGATACTGTGTTTTCTCTGACTATGCTTTCAAGAATTTTTTTTTCTTCTAATTTTGAACAGTTTGATTATGATGTGCCTGGATTTTAGTTTCTGCTGTTTTGGATTTGCTGAGTGTATTAGTTTCCTGTGGCTACCATTAAAAAAAAAATGACCACAAACTCGGCGGTTTAAAACCACAGGAACTTATTTTCTCATACCTCTGGAGGCTGAAAGTCTAAGATTCAGGACCACACCCCCCACGGGGCTGCATTCTTTGGCATGTCACTACATCACTCCATTTCCTGCCTGCACCTTCACATTGCCATTTTCTCTAAAAGTCCCACTGCTGTCTCTTTCAAGCTCACTTGTCATTGGATTCAAGACCCATTTGAATAACACAGGATGATATTGTCATCTCAAAATCTTTAACTTAAATACATCTGCAAAGACCCTTTTTCCAAATAAGATAACATTCTTAGGTTCCAGGAATTAGGACAAGGTCATATGTTTTTGGGGAGCCATCATTCACCTGACTCTACTGAACTTCTTCTTTTTTTTTTTTTTTAATATATTTTATTGATTTTCCACAGAGCGGAAGGGAGAGGGATAGAGAGAAACATCGATGAGAGAGAAACATCGATCAGCTGCCTCCTGCACACCTCCCACTGGGGATGTGCCCACAACCAAGGTACATGCCCTTGACCGGAATCAAACCTGGGACCCTTCAGTCTGCAGGCCGACACTCTATCCACTGAGCCAAACCGGTTAGGGCATCTACTAAACTTCTTGAATCTGTGAGTTTATGTCTATCAACAAAATTGTGAAGTCTCCAGCCCTTATTATTTGAAATACTTAAAATGTTTTTTCAACATTACACATTTTCTGCTGTCCTGGGACTCTTGTTGACACCAGTCATAGATCTGTTGTCATTGTCTCATAGAACACTAGGGTCTGTTCATTGCTTTTCTCACTTTTATTTTTTTTTCCTGTTTTTTAGATTGGATAATTTCTATAGATCTATGTTCAAGTTCACTGATTATTTCCTGTCATCCCTATATGTTGTTGAGTTCGTTCCATAGTTATTGTTAAATTTCAGTTACTGTATTTTTCAATTCTAAAATTACCATTCGACTCCTCATATCTTGTGTTTCTTTGCTGAGGTTTCTATGCTTCTTCTTTTTTTTTTTTTCCAAGAGTGCAGTTTCTTGTTGAAGCATTTGTAGTAAGAGCTGCTTTAAAATCTTAGATAATTTCAGCACCTGTGTCCTTATGATATCAACTTCTGTCGATCTGGCTTTTGTCCTGCCACTTGAAATGTTTCCAGCTCTTCAACTGCCTAGTAAGTCTGGGTTGTATATTGGACTTTTTTAATGTTATGAGATACTTGCTCTTATTTAAATCCTATTGAGAATGTTGATACTTTGATATTAGTAGGCAGACAGCCTTGTTAGTTTCATGCCACCGTTTAACCTGCCCTCCGTATGCCGCGGTTCCCACGCGGCTAAGCTTTGCAGCGCTGTTCAGCTGTCTCACCTGTGCCTCACTCAGTGGTCAGCCTGAGGTCTGGACGGCAGGCTGTGTCCAGTTCTCATTACCTTTGGCATCCTGACTGGGAACAGATCCACAGAGTTACAGACCAGAGGGTGAGCCCAGGATTTCACAAACAACTTTGAGTTTGCTTTTCCGAATTTGTCCCTCTTTGTGGTTTCTCTGATACTTTGTCTTCCCAGGACTCCCTTTTTGGCTCTCCAGTCAGAAACTGGAGGTTTACTGTGCCATGCCCTTCCTTTGGTGTTATTGTGTCTGGGACCAAATGGCAGGACAGAGGGGATAAAAAGCAGCAAGGGAGGTTCACCCCATCCTGTTGGGATCACAGTCTACCTGTTGGAGAGGAAGGCTCCCCTCACTCAGGGTTTTAAACCCCTACAGGTCCCTGCTACCCATGATGCCACTGCAGCCAACTTGGGATTGCCAAGGGTTAGGGGTGTGAGAACAGAGAGAAGAGAGGCGGGGGATGGGGGGAGAGATGGGTGGTGGTGGTGGGGGGGGCCGGATTTCCAACCCTGAGCACACTACTCCTTAGCTAGAATTAGAAGGCTTCTTTTAGAGCCCTTGTCTGGTTTAACGGCCCCCTGCTGGGTTGTAGGCTACATTGCATTCAGGCTAGGGAACACCAGAGGAGAAAATATGGTAAGTTTGCAGTGATACTCAAATTCTTGTCTTCTTTCCAAGTCAGCCTTTAGCTGTTTACTTTTCAGTCCTCAAATATTTGCTCCATGCATTCGTTCTGTCCAGGTTTTCTAGCTGCATTTAGTGGGAGAGACAAGGCCAAGTGTGATCACTCCACCTGTCCCAGAGCCAGCGCCCTCCCCTGTTCCTTCCTAACCTCTACTCTGCATCACCTCTCCACCTTCAGGAAATGGCGGTATGGGAGCTACTCTGATGGAAAGACTGAAGGCTCTGTTTTCTCAGTGTACTGCGCGTACACCAGCGTCTTGGGGCTCCCACTGCCAAGGGACAGCGCTGTCTTTACTCTCTTTGGCAATTGGGCATCGTGACCTGGTGGGCACGGAAAGCAGTTGGAATTGTTTTGTAAAATTAATGCTTTTGTACAGTCTGAAGGTACATTTGACGTTTCATTTTTAGACCAGGAAAGTCATCTTACTTTCTGCATTTGTGTTCTCACTGTAGGGTAATCATGCTGTGTTATCACACTATCCTAGGTTTGCCCAAAGGACCAGCCAAAACCCCGACTCAAGTCACACATACGAGAGTGTAAGTAATGAAACCCTTTCCTGGCAGTGCACCTAGTCCGATTGTCATGGCCAAAAGGGAACTGCTGGTCATTAATTCTAATGTTTTTCTCAATGTCTCTTTGAATTTATAATGTATTGATGTAGGCCTTGTTAGGACTTTTCCTTATTGTCTTAATCTTTTTTTTCCTTTTGATTTTTTAAAGTTTCAGTTGACTTACAATATTATATTAGTTTCAGGTGTACAGCATAGTGATTAGACATTTATTTAACTTACAAGGTGATCACTCTGATAAGTCCAGTACCCATCGGACACCACACATAATTATTACAATATTATTGACCGTAGTCCCTATGCTGTACTGGTAATTCACATCCCTATGACTGTTTTTATAACCGGCAACTTATATTTCTTAATCCCTTCCGCCTTTTCACCCATCTCTCCAGGCCCCCTTCCATCTGGCAACTATCAAAAAAGTTCTCTGTATCTATGTGTTTCTGTTTTGTTTGTCCGTTATTTAGATTCCACATGTCACTTTATGCCTTTCTATAGGGTCAAGATATGTTTGTTCCTGTTTGAGATTGTATATTTAGTAAAACCACTAAATCTAGATTGAGGTAAACAGAGTATGGCGAAAGTAGGTTTACAGTTGTAAGTGAAAGTTTTTATTCTTGTTATTTATTATTGTATTATTTTCCATACCAACAACTGTAAACCTACTTTTGCCCCACCCTGTATATTCCTGCTTTTATTTTTTTAAAGCAACATGTTTCTTCAGAATTTTACATGGGAAATGAGGTGTAATGGCATGAAGACAGACAGAAACGCAGTAAATTTTATAAGTGGTTATTACTTAAAAAACTAAAGTAGTTGCTCAGAATTACTAATTCCTGTCCAGTTAAGAACATACGGTTCTTGGAATAGTGCCCCTTGGAAGCCTCAGAATCTAATTTTAAAAAAGGGAAACTTACTGTAGAATGTTGATTTGAATATGCACTCTGTTCTCTTCAGCTTCCAGTATATCAAAATTCAGAGTTACTACAGCCGGTGAGTCTACACACCATTTCAGCCACACCGTCAAACCAGACACTGCCAGCCTTGCCTGCCAACCACCCAGGTACTCAGGACCCTATTATTTGCACTAACAAGGGAAAACTGAATGTGAGTCTGCGAGAGATGTATTGGTAATCGAAAAATAAAAGAGAGATGAAAAATTAGAGGAGTTTGTTTGCATTTTTAAGTTCCATGAAGTAAATTCAGGGTAAATACCATTCTGACATTAGGAAATTATAGAAGTGCTTGGGTTGTGCTGAATATTGTATTTGGAGCACTGAGGGTAAATGAACCGTTAGCTGAAGTTTGAAATCCTTTTGTTGTATAGATTTGTTGCCATGGGGGTAGTATTAGAATGGCAGTGTATTTGTTTCCGTTGTCAGTCTTTGTTAGGATCTTATGTTTGAAGTCTAAATCATAAGAATACTAATTGTGCGTATTCCCTTGAAAAGCACAATTCGTGTTTACTGCCTTTTTTTTTTTTTTTTTTTTTTTTTTTTTTTTTTGCCTAAAGCGATGACAAAGAATGATCTCCAGCTACCCAATTACTACGAGGTAATGGAGTTTGATCCCTTAGCTCCTGCTGTCACGACAGAGTAAGTCATTTTCAGAATGATTAATTTATTTTTTGTCTCGGTTCCCTTTGGTAGCAGAGCTAACAGGGCTTGCTTATATATTTAACTTTGCTTAGATCTTGGCACAAATTGATGACCTTATTAAAAATGACTTATGAGGTTTTATGGGAGCTGTTGCTCTTAATGGTCTTACCGTTCTCGGCCTTGTGACTGAAAAATAAAAAAGCTCGGGTTGCACATTAAGAAGTAACCGGAACCATCATGTGCATTAATGGATTCCTCGTGGATGGCTTGGCAGAAACTTGAGTTTTCTCCTGATTGAGAAGGGCACTAGTCACTGATCAATGACATAGCAACACCACACTGATGGGATATTTTAGCTGTGCTTTGACTCCTAATCCTCCCCAAAACTCATATAAGAACTTGGTGTTAGTCTTCACTACGTATGACAACAGTGTGCTTAAAATGAATTAATAAAGCATTAGTAAAAATTACTTAACTTGCCCTAACGGGTTTGGCTCAGTGGATAGAGCGTCGGCCTGCGGACTGAAAGGTCCCAGGTTCAATTCCGGTCAAGGACATGTACCTTGGTTGCGAGCACATCTCTAGTAGGAGGTGTGCAGGAGGCAGCTGATTGATGTTTCTCTCTCATCAATGTTCCTAACTCTCTGTCCCTCTCCCTTCCTCTCTGTAAAAAGTCAATAAAATATATTTTAAAAAAATTACTTAACTTGAAATCCTTAAGGCACCATTATTTTTTGATATCCTATAGGTCAAGTGTATAAAAATATTTCGGGGATGGTAGGCTCTTTAGAGCTTTAATATATTTTAATTGACTGAAGGTTAACCCCCAAATTGTTAAAAATGGTCAAAGTATGTTTATAGAAATCATTGTTCAGAAACTGGCAGCCTGAATGCTGTATCTTTGCCTACAGCTGTGCAGAATATACAATATGCATTTAAAAATTAATAGCCAACAGTTAAACACTGGGATATTTCAAAAGATATCTGGACCTATGGATTTAGATGCCAGGCCTACATTTTCACATGCTAGCAATAGGTTGGGGTTACGGAGTGGCTGTCTCCTTAAGATTAGGTAGGTTCTGCAGTCCACCAGGCCCCTTGGCCTGGCCCACTGCATCCACTCATTTGACCTGCCTGGCATGTGGAGGTATTTGAGGGAACACCTGGTACAAAGGCCCCAAGGAGAGAGGTTTGGTACATTCCAGGACACAGAAAAGCCAAAGCTAAGAGCAAAGGGAGCAACAGGGAACCTGTTATCAGACATGGAAATTGCAATTTGGAAACCAAAAAGGGAGTGCACAACTGTGATGAACTTCAGTGAGAGGACAAGTAAGATGAGGACTGACAACTAGGTAATGGATTAAATAACTGTAAATCATTGATTTAAAAAAATGTTATTAATTTCAGAGATAGGGAGAGGGAGATAGAGATAGAAACATCAATGAGAGAATCATCGATCAGCTGCCTCCTGCATGCCCCCTACTGCAACACCATGTGCCCTGACCGGCAATCAAACTGTGACCTCCTGGTTCATGGGTCAAGGCTCAACCACTGAGCCACATCAGCCAGGCTCATTAGTGATTTTAGTAAAAGCCATTTTGGTAGATGGATGGGGACAAAAGGCAAATTTCAGTGCATTAAGAAGTAAGAGATGCAGTAGCGACAGTAAGTGCAGACACCAGAAACTTAAACACGAAGGGATGCTGGGAAATGGTTTGGAAGCTAGCGGGTTACTGAGGTGATTACCAAGCAGACACAGGGTTAGGGACTATATTGTTGATGCTGGAGCACCTGTGAATGCTGAGGGGTAGGATCCAGTAGGCAGGGAGAGGTTAAAGATTCGGTTGGGGAAGGGAAATAACTAAAGGAGGTAAGTGTTTGAGAAGCCAGGGCTCGAAAGGATCCCAGAAGGAAATGGTGATGCAGATGAAAACAGACTTGAAGATTCAGTGACGGGAAGATGAGGAAGTATCCATATCAAGGCATTTGATTTATTAAGAAGTGGGGTTTCTGACTCAGAGTGAGAGGAGGGAGATAAGAGACTTGAGAGTGAAGGAGGTTGAAATAGTTTTGTGGAAAATGAAGACAATACTTATTAGGGAAACTTTTAAAAATATCTGGACCATGCTAGGGCTTTGTGATATTGATGACCAAGACTTCAGTGATTTTTAGATTTTTGTTCAGCCATGTACTAGTATATGAATGATATATTTTCTAGCCGCAGACATATAAGACATATATAAAGAGTTGAATGAAGCCTGTCATAGAAAAATTATTATATATTATATATATTATATATAAAGTACAAAGATGACATTTAAGCTAAAGGTGGCTCAGGAACTTGGACTGTATTAACACAGGTTATATAAACTAATTATTTTATAAAATGTTTTAAAACCAGGAAAAGCTGAACAATTTTTCTTTTAAAAAGCACAAGCAAACTGTCCAAATTTTAGCCATATTTTTCATTAAATTGCAATTAAAGTGAATTGACTATACAATACACATATTGTTAAGATGCAGAGGAACTGCACCATTAGGATCTAAGAAAGCTACAATGTAAGATTCAGGGCAGATATTTTTGTTTTTATTCACTTAAACAGCCTGAATGGCTAAAGGGACCAGATTTTTAGTTCAGGTTAAAAGCCAAAATAGTACTTTGAAAGTGGTATGTAACCCTTTTGCCACAATGGCTTGTTTGTTTCAGAGCTATTTATGAAGAAATTGATGTTCATCACCGCAAAGGCACTCAAAATCATAGTGACTGTTAAGGTAAAGACTTCCAATTTACATACCCTTCATTCCATTCTACAGAATTTCAGTGTAGTTATCACTTTTTCTAGTTAGTATTTACATTTTGTAAGGGCCATCTGACGCTTTAATGAGTGAAATATTAATATACAAGTTCCTTCAAATCACTCAATTGAATGAACTATTTGTTCCCCAATGAAATACATTCTTTGTGACCTTGTTAACTAAAAATAATAAATCTTGGGAATGCAGAAATTCATCTGTGTATAAAAATATTAATGCTAACAAAAACAGATGATCAATAAGAACTTTTTAGCACTAGAATCAGACATCTGTCTTATATGTGCAATAGACACCTGTTAACTGGGACAGGTAGAAACCATCCATTGTTAATCCAGATAGGTCTGGATGGCTTTTATTTGCTGGACTAGTCATCCCACTTATTTATTAATGAATGCATGGCCACTAATAATCTATTAACCTTATTTATTCCCCTTGCACACCCCCCCAATGGAAATAGGACATTCCCGCCTTTCCTCTACTAGTGTGTGGCCCTCTAGTTATCAAGGAATGGGGACAGAGAAGGAAAGGATGGGGATGGTTGACTATTTTCTGTTTATTCTAGGTGAAAAGGAAGGACCAGCTCACTAGCTGCATTAGGGGTAACAACTCCCCAAGAGGTAAACTGTCCAGCTGTGAGGCCCAGAAGACAAGATCTACCAACACTTTAAAACCAGGGTGGAACACTTCTCCTTGGCAACAGTGAAATTTAAATAGAAGAGTAACAGTTCAAGTTTTATCTCAAAAAAACTTGCTTTTAACATTTTTCACTTAAAACCCCAACAGAAGAAAAAATTCATTGTACTGGGGCCAATCAGGTTAATTGGAGCATCTTATGTTTCTCAGGCGTTCCTACATTTAGAAATCGTCACATGGCTGTGATGAGAATAGATGGATATTATTTTGTTACAAAATAATTCTGAATTCATGTAAGCACAAAATGTAAGAAACTAAATATAGTATTCAGGAGAATAGTGAGTGCCTTCATTTAACTAAAGCCGAATATGTGCACTTTTTTATAAATAATATTCTTGTTTAGAATTATGAATTGTAAAAACCTTAATATTGTAGTTCCTATTTCATGTATCCTGAAGAGGTCACAGGATGCTACATCAAGTTGCCTTTAAATACAATTCTTTATAATACTAAATGTTCTCTCTCTCTTTTTTTTTATTGCAATTTAGTTTTTTTCTGAAACGACTACTGGAAAATATTCAGAATAAATTATACATCCATTTATATCATAAATTACAATGACAAATAAATTACTATTAAAACAATTTAATACATCTTTTTTTACAGTTTTTTCATTGCAGAACTTATGTGAGTAATCTTCACATTTCCCACACTTATATTTTAACATTCAGGGACTTGGAGCTATCACAAGAAATACTAGAAGTCTAGTAGATATTTGCATTTCATTTCAATTTCATGATACCAAAACTTCAGAGTAATTATTCAGTACTCTGAATGTAAATCGCCCTATATCTTAAAGGAAAAACAGTCCCATCTGAAATCAGAATTAATCTTTGGGCAAACTGTTAGGGCTTAGTGATTCCCCTTCCATTTGGAGCTTTTCAAATAGTGACTGTACACAATGAAAAAAAAAAAGTAGTAACCAAGTGTTTTAGAAATATAGTCAGAAGTTCTGACCTAGATCTTGAGACAATACTGGGCATTAACAAAAAAAGGACTACTACAGGTAGGTAATGCTAGTAATTTGGAAGGAACCATGCCTACATATTTAAGAAACACAGCAGTTTCTTTTATTACTCCTTAGCAAAGTACGGCTTTGAACAGTCATACATTCTAAATAGGCAAGTGGATTTCTTCTAATAAAAAGCTGAACCTCTTCTCTCAATTTTAAGTAGGGTAAATTAGTTGGGGGGAAGTACATAATATTTAATATAGAAAGCATAAAAAAGAATAGAATACATTATTGTAGAATGTTTCTCTTCTGAGAAGACAAGATACATGATTTTTCAAAAATCACAAATTTGAATCATAAGATACTGACTTCAATTATAGCCTGGAACTGGCAACTGGTGGCCCTCCTTTGCTTCAAAAAAAGTATAAGAAAGAGTGATGAGATCAACATTCACCATTCTTGGGTCTTCAGCAAATTCAGGATCAATGTAGAAAAACACTGGCATATCTACTTCCTCTTGTGGATTAAGCCTTTGTTCCTCAAAACAGAAGCACTAGAAGTTATAGAAAGGCATTAGTTTATTAATATTTCTATTCTATTATCCAAAATAAAAACTAATGGTGCATTTAGTGGCTTTAATAAACATACTGTTAAACATAATCTTTAAATTCTGTGACAGGGTAACAGCATCTTTTCAGTTCTGCTTTAAGGATTGAGAATCAACAAATTCTTCTAATCTTAAAAGCAGATTTCCATTTAGTTTGACTCTAAACCTCTACAGAGCTGTTATAAGCAATGAAAAAAAAGTAGTTTGAAGTTTAGAAGAAATGAGTTTTCAGAAATCAATACCCACTAAAATACTGCATTAAATTTAGTGCTAAATAGTTTTTTTGTACTTTTATCATATTCTATAGTTTGCATTTAGTTGTACCTGTATTTTATTGAAATACTGTCCAGCTTCAAATGGTACAACATTGTACGTAGAAATTCCGATTACTGGTTTGTCAGTAGGATTCTTAGCTTTATAAAACGCCAGTGCAGTCTCTCCAGGCACTACCTGTTTTTTAAAAAAAGCATATTCATTATCAATACTTTAAGCCTCACACAACTCCTTCTTTCCCTACTAAATCAGTCACATTATTTTTCCTATCCATCAGACCATAATACCTAATCTAAACTAAGAGCCAGCAAAATAGTGAATACTACCCATGAACACCTGATTTCCAAATTTTACTTGTATATATATTAGTGACGAACCAATGCTCTAATACGCATACTTAGTTATGGAGTCTCTCAACATTTTGAAATTAAATTTAGATGAGTGTTTCCAAAATTGTGAAACAGTTTTAAGTTACACTGAATTTTTACACTGAAAAAAGTAATCTTTTAATACTTGCAGGTACTTCTTTGATCACTTACATATATTTCTGTTTGCTGAGGTCTAAAGTTCCACTGGAGACTTGCGTGCACATCTGCATTAAAGGTGACTTTAATGATGCGATCCTTAACAGGCACCATGTTTTCAATCTGGTCTGATGAATGACCTGCTGCTACTGATCCCCCAAGTCCAGTAGTCTAGAAAAAGAAGTGTAATATGTTACGTATTACTTTTAGGTGCTGACGATCTATTGGACAAAATCATAATTTTAAAAACCATTTAACTTTAGTAACACAATAGGAGCCAAGTTTATGTACTATCACTGACCATTTCCTATGAATGTGTCAAATGATTTAACCACTTGCAGGGGGGGGAGGGTGTCAAAGGCCTAAATTTATTGAAGTCATATTTTCTCAGTAATCACTCAGTTATGTGGCATGGTCAAAAATGAGTCATTTGGAAGACAGAAGACTCTTCACTGATAATACAGCTCAGAATATTTAGCTTTTCAATAAGCATACTTTCCTTTATTCCTAGTATTTCATATCAACTATTATTAATAGAAATAAAATTTACCCACATTCCTGTCATTTTAGTAAAACTATTTAAATAATTCAATTTTCCTATCTGGTCCTTTTTCATATTATTAACTTTTATAGCACAGATTCATTTTAGCTTCACTTCTGTAATCTGCTTTTCTCAAGCACCACAAGTATTTTCCCATGTTGGTAAATGTTTTTGTAATTTTTGTGTAGTATAGCTTTTACAGATATCAGAGAACTTGATCTCTTTGGCCACTGAATGAACTAATCATAAGACATCGGAATAATCTGTGTATGACACCTCTTCCCTATCTTTCTTGCCATTATTTCCTTTATCATCAAAAATGCTTTAAAAAAATATTCTTACTTCCAGGCTGATCATTCTTCTGATGCTTGAGGTTGCCAGAATTCTGGTCTCCGGATAATTAATCCGTTACTATACTAGGAAAAAAATACCAAATTTGAGGCTAGGGGAAGACTCCCAGCAAAATATAGTATTACTAACTCCCGCTTGTTACACCAGTCAGCTAGCTTCACTTGACTGCCATGCAAATTACATTATAACCCTAAAAGATGCATCAGAGGGCAAGCCTTTATCTTTGTGTAATGTATAAGTATATCCTTCTGCCCATGAAGGCTAGAATGCTTACGTTTTAACATATGACTCCTTTTCCTAAAGAATTCGAAATCACTTGAGTATAGATTCCTTCAGGCACTATTTCTGACTGGCCGTCTTCGAATATAGATTCTTTAAATTTATGTCTGAAGATTAGAAAAAATAGAAAAGGGCACGGAGAATATGCCCTGGTATCCAGTCTAGTTCTTCCACTAACTGAATCCAAGAACTCAATAAATCTTACTTTCTTTGGGCACATGTTGCAGATTCATAAAATGAGCTCACTGGATTAAGTGGTTTATATAAGCCCTTATTTTTGCCTCTAAAGTTCTGAGTCCAAAAGTGAAAGAGATACTCTGGTTGGAAATGTCACTATTTAACATCCAACTGTGATTTAAATTTAGGATAAATCACAACTGCTTTTACTTTTCTGCCCTGTGCTTGCACACATGCACACAAATTATTGCCATTCATTGCAGTTTGGGCCAGGATTTCTCAGCCTTGGCACTAATGACGTTTCGGGTTGGATAATTCTTTTTTTTGGTGGTGAGGTGGGGTGTGTGTCTGTCCTGTTTGTTAGATGTTTAGCAGCATCCCTAGCCTCTACCCACCAGATACGAGCAGCACCCTCCTGCCAGGTTGTGGCAACCAAAAATGTCCTCAGACATTGCTAAGTATTCCCTAAGGAATAAAATCAACTTGGTCTGTGGTGGCCCAAACTTGCTTGCTGTTTTGGGATTCAGGCTGGCTCTTGGCTGGCCTCTGCTGGAAACTAATTCACATTCTACACATCCTCCACAAATCAAGCGATTGCACTTTCCCACATAAACGCTGCTATCAGGAGGCTGAAAAAGTCCCTTTGACTTCTGTCTCGGTCATCGCACAAAATAAAGGTAAGTTCACCTCTGTAAGCTCAGGGGAAGTTAGCCAGGTAGGAACAGTGGAAAGATTCTGAGCAATGTTTAAAATATTACTAATGCCTGACCCCCACTCCAAGACATTCTGATTTAACTGGCTTGGGATGTCACTGATCTGTCAGTTTTTTAAAAAGCTCCCCTGGTTACTCCAATGCCGGAGTAACAGAAATTACTACTTTTAAGAACTATAGAGGCCATATATGAATTAGGGGAAGTTTGCCTTGGCCAGTGGTTCTCAAACATTAGTTTGCATCAAAACCAGCTAGAGGACTTATTCACGTACTGACGCCCAGGCTCCTGATTGAGTAGGTCAGGAGTTGGGCACAAGAATCTGCACTCAAGTTCCAAGGTGATGCTGATCCTGCAGGTCCTGTGGACCACACGGAGAACCAGCTGGATGCGGATGAACGCGGAGCCCAGGATAAGCACGTTAGTTACAAATGAACGGGGATGGGGCCCTCAAAGGCCTAATTCATGTCTCTTTTGATGGATAAAAGCTACTCCCGGTTTAAGCACAAGTAACACGCGGACTCCCATCTCCAGGGTGAACCTGCGCACATCAACCGTGTGGCTGGCTCACCGAGTTAATGTGCTAACATGCACTACATTTTTTAAAGCGGGCACGTGCGCCCGCAGCCGGAGGGTAAAGCAGATGGCTGGATTCCGGAGTGCAGGCTGCGGACCTTTCGGGAGAGCTCAGAGATGAAGGAATCTCACTCGGCAGCAGGATCACTCTATTTGTAACTTGCAGCTCCGCCGCGAACTTCCTTGGTGACCTTGGCCCGGTCACCGCTTTGAGCCCGTTTCCTCTCTGGGCGATCATCTCGGACATCCCAACGGGACACCGCCCAGTGGGGTGGGCAGCGGCGGCCCCTACCTGGCAATAGAGCCGATAAAGAGGCACGGCGGCATAGGACGCCCCCAGCATGCCCACGGCGGCCGCGGCCATGTACGTGAGGACGGTTTTGTTTCGCTGCCGCCATTCCTCGTCCTGCGCGCGCGCGTGCGGGTTCGTGCTCTTCGGCCGCCGCGCCGGCTGCACGGCCAGGTCTCGGGCCAGGTTCGGGCGCCTCCATGTTCCGAGCAGCCTCAGGCCCCTCTCAGCACCTCCCGTCCCACTCCTCTCCGGCCTGAGGCACCGCTCCACCCTCTCCGCGACGCTGGTCGGGGGGCCAAGGGGACGCCAGCGCCAGCCGCAGAAAGCGACGCGCCGCCATCCCGAGCGCCAGAGCCCTCCCATAGCGTCCGGAAAGGACGTCCGCCGGTCACGCACGAGGGAAGATCTCGCGAGGCCTGCTCTGTCTCGCGATACCAGAGTGGAGCCCGCCGCTGCCTTGGCTACCAGGCTGCTGGGGAAGCTACGCCCGGAGTCGCGCTACGGAGGCCGGGTTGCCAGGTTACCGGTAAGTTCGCGTTTTGCTTTAGGACTGTTCCTCCCACTTGGTTTCGCTCCGACTTATCTCACTTTTAGGAAAACGCCTTACGCTCCTCCCGTGCACCGGTCCTCACTCGGGGTGGTGTCCCCTGTCTTCGTAAACGGCATCAGCCTTTGTCTCGACCGAGTGGCCCCCCACGGCCGCTGTCCCGCGGTCCTTTTACCTGGGGTTCTCTGGCCGCCCGCCTGCTCCTTGCCGCGCGGGCCCTGGCGCTGGGGTCACCTGTCCTGGGAAGCCTTCCTGGGGTGACCAACCACAGCCCCTCGAGCAATCACGTCGTTTTCTCAGCCCCAGGGAATGGGCGTCCCCTGCCCCGACGCCCCCGAGCTACCAGCCCAGCGACATCACCGCTGGTGGAGCCGGAGGGACGCCGTCCTTCCGAAGTTGGTGTAGAGTGGCCAGGATGCGAGGGTCATTTAAGGAGGGCCGGGAGGAAGCGGGGATGTTCATCTCGGGAAATAGATGTTCGGGGATGCGATAGCTTCTTCCGTTATCCCACCGGACGGACTAGACAGCAGAGCCGGTGTTGCTGTAACGGAAGCATCTCTTAGAAACTATATGAAGTCGCGGTGAAGAGCTCAGGTTCCGAGGTTCGGTCCGGATTCATCCCTGGGTCTGCACGTCGGCCTGGTGTCCTGGGGCCAGTTATTGGACCCCAGACTTCGTGACCTTTTAGGAGTGGTAATAGATTATGCGTGTAAAGTGATTTGCACAGTGCCTGAGACATAGTAAAAAATTAGTAAATGTCAGGCTTCCTTTCTAATGACCGGAGCTGCCTGAGAAATGATTTTCAGTTATTTACTTACTTATTTCACTGTTCCCGTGGGCCATACCCTGTTCAACCTACTAGGGCTACAACAGAGAGAAAGTCAGGATCACTTCTGTTATAGTCTTTTCTTCTGATGACTCAGGGGATGATCAATAACATTCAATCTGTACAATGAAGACAACGGAATAAGATAATGTAATTTTATTATTTTTTCTTTCAAAGGTAAACATTTTATTTTTTAGGAACTGCGTGCAACACATTTTCAAAGAGCCACATAAGAAAGCAAAAATGTCCCCTCATCCTGGAAATAAATTAGAAGGGCGTACAATTTCTTTTTAAATCATGACGCTTGGGAGTTTAGCACCAGCATGCAAAATAAACAGAAAAGGGGGAGGGGCATTTACTATATATTTCAGATTTCTTTGGTTGGGGTTCTTCCCAGGTGGTATTAATATTTCTTCTTTTGATTCATATTACCAAAACAGTAAAAACCAGGAAAAATACATATAAACTTCGTGATTGCTGAAATTGGGAAGGTTGCTCTCTTGTCTTCTGTGCAGGCATTCCTGGAAAAATTGGCTGACATTCTCTTTTTATATTTGTTTTGTAAAGAATAATTGTGCCAGGCCAGTGTGCCTCAATGGTTGAGCATCACCCTATGAACCAGGAGGTTGAGGTTCGATTCTAGTCAGGGCACATGCCCAGGTTACAGGCTCGATCCCCAGTAGGCAACTGACCTGTGATTCTCTCTCATCATTGATGTTTCTATCTCTTTCTCCCTCTCTCTCCCTCTCTGAAATCAATAAAAAAAATATATATATTATTTTTTTTTAAAAGCCAATAAAATCCAAGCACCCTTTGACTCTTTTCTACTCTGGCACAAAAGTCTCAAGATTATGTGATTATACAAATTTATTTGTTTTGTTTTATGAGAATGTTTGAAAATCTTTTCATCTGTATCTCCCTTAGTTCTTACACCAGATTGTCAGCTCTTTGGGGACGTGATCTGTCATATTTTAAATTTCTTACAGTGTAGACTCAAGCCCCATGCAAATGCTAATGTCACTGAAAGCAAGAGTACATTCCCTCCAACATTAGGTCACCTTTTCATGTAGCAACAGGTTGCAGTACATATAAATGCCAGTCATAGTGTCTTTGTCTCGGGTTCTATTATTTTATTTTGTTTTGTAATTGCAACTGAAACTATTCCTTTCCAAGGTACAATAATCTTGATAGCAATAAAGTGGTGTTGGCTGCAATTCTTGTGAGTCTGAGTCTGCTTGTGATAATGCATAAATAATTATGATAATGAATGCTACATAATGGATTCTGCCTGGAATGGAATGGGAGCACCTCAGGGCAAGACTAGTACAACCTTGTTCTGCAGGTAGTAGAGGTGTTGATTACAAACGAACTTAAAATATAAGGGGCTGGACTGAGATTTCAGACTTGGGCACCTTTAATTTGTAATGTCATTGCTCAGCCGTAAATGATTAATCCTTGTGAACCCTTTCTAGCTAGTTATCTAGTTAGATGTTAGATATGATAATGCCTAATTTTACATAGTAAGTAAAATAGGTTATTTTTATATAAATCATTTTGGGGGTGGGGACTGAGAAATGGTGAAGGTTGAAAAGAAAGAAAAAAGAAATTTTGAGTCACACAATGTTTCCCTGTTGGGTGTTATTGCTTTTCAGACTTTCTGAAGACTTACAGATTATAAAGATGTGTTATTTTTTAAATTTGGTTTCTAATTACTTTTTGGCATTTTAATGGCTAATATAAATTCAGGAAATTGCAATTTAAACCTTAGTATGTTAGTCACTGAGCTGTATTTTGTAACTGTTTATCTAATAAAGTTACTGGGTTCATTTGGCAATGTGAAATACCTAACAATCTGGCATTACAAACAACTGTTTATTTGGCAGCTGTATATTACAAGATTTTTCCTGTACCTAAAGGAGGAAGAGTAATGCATTTGAATAAATAGTAAGAAGTAGTGAATTCCAGTTTGCTTGAGACGAGGCTGAATATTCACTGTTTCCTAATAAATTAAAGCACACTCATGGCATGAAGCTGCCTTAGTAAGTCTTGATATCCTGGTTTCTTATTCTTGGCATCTTCCTTTAAGCCACATGTTTCAGGGGCTACTCCACGTAAAAGACTTCACGGGCTACGTTTATATGATTGATAGATAAGGTGAAATGAAAACAGAAATCATTCACCAGTATCTTTTATCAAGATCAGTGCCAGCTTCAAGGTTGTGTGCCTGTGCAGTTGCACAAGGACCTGCTTTTAAAAGGGCCACTGGCTCAGTTGGGCCTTGTATTTGGTTTAATGCTCTGCTGTCATGATCTTGAAATAATTTTTTTAACAGGGACTTGCATTTTCATTTTGTCCTGGCCCCAGGATACATATTATATTCCAAATGAACCATCTGACTGACGTTCTGACGTTCTGCTAAAGCTCAGTCAACCTAAAAGTAAGAGATAAGGAAAAAGGCCAATTCAGGTCTCCTGAGAATAGCCAGGTTGCATGAAGTAAGATCAAGTGAAAATCCAAACTCCTTTCCACAACCCATTACCCTAGTTCATCTTGACCCTGCCTATTTTTCTAACTTTATCTCCGATCTGTTTCTGTCTGCATTCACCAGGCTCCATCCACACTCCTCTTTTTATAAAAATGTATTTTTATTGATTTCAGAGAGGAAGGGAGAGGGAGAGAGAGATGGAAACATCAATGATGTGAGAGAGTTATTGATCGGTTGCCTCCTGCACTCCCCACACCCGGAGTCAAGTTTGCATCCCAGGCATGTGCCCTGATGGGGAATCGAACCAGGACCTCCTGCTTCATAGGTCGATGCTCCACCAGTGAGCCACACCTCCTTCTATGCTGTAAATGTCCCAAATTTATTTTGCTGCCTTGAGGCCTTTTCTCTGCCTGGAGTACTTTGTCCCTCAGCTTTTCTTCTGGCTGATCTATTATTCGGATCTTGGCTGAGACACCACTACCTGACCTAAATTAGCACTCCTCTCCCAGCCAAATTTGATTATACTATCCTTTGGTATCTGAAAGTTAGTTTATTTTGCTGTTTCCTTCTGCTTTTTAATATTTTTTAATTGATTTCAGAGAGGGAGAGAGAGATAGAAGCATCAATGATGAGAGAGAATCATTGATTGGCTGCCTCCTGCACGCCCCCTACTGGAGATGGAGCCTGCAACCTGGGCATGTGCCCTTGACCAGAATTGAACCTGGGACCCTTCAGTCCAGGCTGTCGCTCTATCTTATCAGCCAAACTGGCTATGGCTGCCGGTTCCTTTTTTTTAATTGTTTTTCTCCCATCACTAGAGGGTAAATGCTGTAAAAACAGGGACCTTGGATTGTTCAGTATAACACAAGCCCTTACATAGTGCCTGCATGACTGTGCTGAGTACATGTCTGGCGGGTGAGTGCGTGAGTGTGGCAAGCAGAAGGGAGTCAGAGAGTCTACGGAAACTTCCGAGAACAGTGAGCTGTGACTCTGACGAAGATCTCATGTTTCAAGAAATGTAGGACTCCTTTGAAGCCTTTCGGTATTTCCCACAGGATTGGGCTGTGTTACAGGCAGAGCTATGTGTCCACCCCCGAGACAGATGAGCAGCATTCCTGACTGTTTGGATTCCTGAAAGGGAAAAAATGCACGGGTAGCTGGAAAATGCCCCTGGGTACACAAGAAAGGAGATAGTAAAAGAACCCTCTGACCTTTTATATCTTTATTTTCTGAAACTTTAATGTCATTTAAGAAAAGATCAATTAAGTAAAGTCTACCCCAGGGAAGAGACTTATTCCTGATTTTTGTCAGTGTCCTTAAACAGCTGTAGGGTTATATAAATAGTTAATGCTCGCTTGAAGAATCTCTGATGTGATAAAGTGCACAAATTACCACTTTGAGTTCCACTTCCGCTGCCCTTTTTAACTGAAAATCCGATTTTTTAAAAAGTTAACTTGATTAAGGTATCATTGATTTATAACAACACATATTGAGGGTGAAATAATTTGCTAGGTTTTGACATGGGTATTCGTTTGGAAAACCATCACTATTGCCTAATATACCTATGAAGAAACGGGCTCAGAAAAGCCCAGCAGCGCAAATTGGAACCCAGGTGTATCTGAAACCAAGGTCCATATTCTAGGTTCTGCAGCCTGCATTCTAGCTGGGAAAACAACCAGTGACCGATTCTTATTTGGGTGGGGAAAGTACGCAATCTCTGTGACCCTCATTTCTTTAATGAGAGGATTGTGCTAACGGGTCCTAAAATCTTTTATAGCTTCATTTGTATACTCCGTTCTGTTTCTTATGAAGAGGTGGTAAATCTCTGTTCAAATATTTTTTAATTGAATGATACCACTGTTCTCTAATTTTTACAGTGGGTCTGTGAGAGAGATCAAAATACTTTTTTCTTTTCACAGGAAAATTTGAAGAAGCTTGTGGAGTAATATGAGTCAGACTAATCTAGGATCTGCAGGAAGTCCCTCATGATAGTCGGTGAGACAACAGGAATTTCTATTTTCTTCAACAGTGTGTTGTATCATTATTTTGCAGACATTCTGACTATAAACTTCCTAGCCTTGTGCTCAGAAAAGACATTTCCCTCCGTCTTTTATTATTATGTGCTTTTTACACTTACTAATGGTGGAAGCTATCGTAGTTACCTAAAGCTTCCCTGTATTCCTCACTTCTGTCAGCAGTGCAGCTTTCATATAGATGTAGATGTTATGATGATATAGGTATACCTCGATACCTTTATCTATGTCTCTATCTACAGTACTGTCTTTACATTTCTCAGATACGATGAGCAATGACTAAAATGACATGGCCCAAAATACATAAAATTCATCTAACATCTACACACAGGCACATATTGTTTATGTGCCAAATGCATGTAATGTTTTTATGCAAACTTATGGAGCACATTTGACTGTTCTAAGACATGACACTTTGTTTTCTGCCTCCCCAGTCTTAGGAAAAGAAGAATTTATAGACTCTTCATCATATTCTCATTTGCACGGCTGTTAAATGCAAGCTACTGTGGTGAAACCATGAATAAAAATTCATCTGCTGCAGTACCATCCGGTCTACTTGAAAAGTAATGGTTAAATTAAATTTAGTATGTTTTGAACTATCATAGTTTTAAATCTGTCAAATATTCGTGAGTGTCTGGTGGAAAGTGTTATACAGTTAACAACCTGTGGTCTAGGATAGCAGTAATGAGAAGTTGATCAATAATCACCTTTTAGTGTAAATCAGTGTAAAGGGAAAATTCTGCATTCCCTTTTAGAATTATTTTTCGAGACTGCTTTATAAAATTGATCTAATTTTTGAATATCTAAAATATTTTATAATTTCAGTATAAAAGTAACATAAGATTAACTTTTGCTGAGTAACAAACCACCTCCAAGTGCATTAAAAATACAAGCTTTTATCCTTTGCCATGAGTTTGTGATTAATTCTTCTGGTCTACACCTAATGATGTCAGGTGGCCTCATTCACATGTTCTGGGGCCTAGCTGGGAAGGCTGGATGATGGTTGCCTCTTTCCACCTGATCTCAGCTTCCAGGAGGCTAGTTCAGGCTTTTTTTCTTTCTTTTTGTTATTTCAGAGAGGAAGGGAGATAGAAACATCAATGATGAGAGGGAATCATTGATCGGCTGCCTCCAGCACGCCCCCCGCTGGGGATTGAGCCCACAACCTGGGCATGTGTCCTTGACCGGAATCGAACCCTGACCTCCTGGTTCATAGGTCAATGCTCAACCACTGAGCCACACCGGCCGGGCAGTTCAGGCTTTTTTATGTGGCAGTGGAATGGTCCCCAGGAGGAAGCACACGTGTTTGTCAAATGTCTATTTTCCTCACATTTGCTGGAGTACCATTGGCTGAAGCAATTTAAATAGTCAAGTCCAAATTCAAGGTATAGAGATGTAGACTTTACTTTTTAATGGAAGTAGCGGTAGAGTCACTTTCCAAGAGGCATGCAGACAGGGGTGGGAAGAATTGCCATTCTGCAGCATGTCACACCCACATAACAAGGCACATTCAGAGAAGGCTTGCTTTCATGCTTGTCCTTAACTCTGCGGCCTCATTTCTCGCCTAGATAACCATTTTTATTCTTGTGGTTTTTTCAGTGCTTCTTTTTACATATACATATAAATATACATAAAGGTTATATATGTGTATATATGTCCATGAACCACATAATTATATATATGTTTTCTCAAAGTGATTAATTCTTTACTAGCTTCTGCTCTACATTAGACATCTACTGTTGCTTACATGGTGAACAAGTGTGTACCAGCCGTTTGACTCAGGTTCACAGGTCTTCCCTGGAGAAGGGTGTCCGGCTAGTTAAACTCAGGGGGCCTTTCCCTGATGCTTCCTCCTCTGACCACTGGAAAGGTCCGGTCTCCAAGCGGCACCAGCCAGGCCTAGCTGCAGAATGTGCACAGAGTTCCATGTCTTGGTGCTGAGCAGCTCAGCACAGAACTTTTTCCAACTACTTAGTGCAAATCAAGCCCATAAGAGAAAGTCAATGCTCTGACCAGAGTGTTCTAAGATGTAACTTGGGGGGATACCTTTCACAGAACATTTAGACACGCTCTCTTTTCTGATGGCATTGCTCTTACGTCTGATGGAAATCACAGCTGGAGCAGTGCTTTGTACCAGGAAAATACTTCTCCCAATTAAAAGGATAAACTTTTTTTTTGGTAATTCAAATGGAGGTTATATTTCTTTTGCTTTAAATGGCCACTTTTACTTTAAAGTCACTTACCTCACTCATTAAAATGTCTAGTATTGGAATTGTTCAATATTAAATAGTCTAAAAATCAATAAAAGCAAATCTTTTCTATCACCTTTAATAAATTTTTAAAATTTATCTCTATTATATTTTTGAACTATTTTTGTTTGTTCCCCAAAGAAATAAGCATTATTGCTGTATTTTTTTTTTTTTATGGTTTGGTTGTTTTGTAGAGAAAATGAAAGTTACAGATGAGACAATCCATTTGATTGCTTTTGTTTCACCATACTTTTTAACATGTAGCTGCTGGAATGTACTGAGTACTTTGAGTCATCTAGATCCAAGAATTTCATTCAACAAGTAGCTTAAGGAGAACCTCGTAAGATCGCTTGTAACCTGTGAGTGCTAATTTACTTTATCTTAGGGACCCTGCCTTGCAGATGATTACCGTTACCAAGGAAACAGGCCTCGGTCTGAAGATCCTCGGAGGAATTAACCGGAATGAAGGTCCCTTTGTGTATATTCAGGAAATCATTCCTGGCGGAGACTGTTATAAGGTAAAAATGAAAATTTAAAAAAAAACCTTCACCAAAAAGAACAAAACCATTAGTAACAAGGTTTGTTTTCTGTCTCATCAGTCTAGTCTTAATATTAGCTGAATGTCCCCTGTGGACAAAGGAACTGGAAAATAGGCCTGTTACCCTCAAGGAGCTTTGCCCTAAGAATGAATATGAAATAAAATGTGAAAATAACAGCCTTCAGGCTATCACTAAAGGTTATAGATTTTTAATTTATGCTATTCAACTCTTATCCTATTTTTGGTTAAGAGAAATTATATTTGAAGACGTGTTGTTATCTCTAGTCTGCTCGGAGTTCGGACTAATTTGGATCACTTATGCTTGAAGTATATTCATTTCGCCTATCCTAAATGTAAAACAAAATAAACACAAACACTCAGCAAATAAAATTCATTCATTTTAAATTTACTATAATTTTTGTTCAGCTTGTTAATTATATCATTAATTACTTGCTCACATGAGAAATTAGATTTAGAATTAAGATGAGAGAATATCCTTTTTTAGGAATTAGAATGTCTTACTCTTCTCTTTAAGGCCGTGGTTCTCAACCTTCCTAATGCCGCGGCCCTTTAATACAGTTCCTCATGTTGTGGTGACCCCCAATTTCATTGTTACAAATTGAACATAATTAACCCTTTTCAGTCCAACGTCGAGGCTGACTTGACAGACCAGGCGCTAGGAGCAGGTCCAACGTCAAGGCTGAGGTCGACACTGCAAACCGGTTCAACATTCAATCCCGTCAATTACTTTGGACCAGACTGTTTGAATTCCAAAAATAAAATTGGACCACAAAGGGTTAAAGCATAGCGATTAATCACAAAAACAATATGTAATTCTATATGTGTTTTTCGGTGGTCTTAGGCGACCCCTGTGAAAGGGTTGTTCGACCCCCAAAGGGCTCGCGACCCACAGGTTGAGAACCGCTCCTTTAGGTAAGAAATATGTAAATCGTTAGTCCCTTTTTCCTTTGGTTGCTAGGAGGCTCAGACCCAAATCTGAAGCACAATACCAGCAACTTAGTTAACAAACTGGTTACTATATTTGCGTTCTCATTTCTCTTGGATTTTATTTGCTATTTTTGTTTTACTGCTGTGTCTTATATATGTCTTTTATTGAAAAGTGGCCCCAGTGCTTTTTGGAAATAGGATATAAAGAATTTAATAAAACATCCTATTTATATCAAATTGTATAGTATGAGAAAGGATTCTCTTATTAGGTTTGTTCATATTGTTGTTTCTTATTCTACTTGTTTTGGTTGAATAAATACACTTACTCTTATCCCTGTTCCCACCCCAAACACTTGTTTAGCAAGCAGCTTATCTCTTTTACTGGATTTTTTTTCTTTGTTAGGGAAAAAAGTCAGTTTTACTAATAACTTCAAAAATAATAGAAATGATTTTGTTTCAGACTTGTTGAGATAATAAGGTATCTTCCAAACGCATGAGTTATAAGTATTATACAGTAAGTTTGTGATATGATAATGATATAAATTTTGGGCCATTGAATTTAAATTATTAACCAAATAGGAACATATTTAAATGCTAAATTTAAACAAATTCAAGCAAAAATGAATTTTTCTTTTAAGAACTGAAATGTTTAGTACTACTTTAGTTTTGAAGCTGAGGTGTGTGTGTGTGTGTGTGTGTGTGTGTGTTCAGGATAGCTAAGGTATTTCCTAGATTGAACTTGATATAATGTAATAACAGATCATTGTACCTAACAAGTGACAAGAATTTGCTTTTAAGACAAGCATCAACTTGTGCTTTTATATTCCATGAAAAATAGTGGTAATTAAAGTAATAAATTGATGTCAGTGGCGTGGAGTGGCTCTTAATCAGCTGTCAGTGATAGCAGACCAAGAAATTATATTCATAATAAAAACTTTCTCTTACTGGTTTCCTTAGAATTTCCTGTTTGAAAGGGAATTAATAAAAGCAAAACCCTGTAATGGACTATATTGCATATTTACCACTAGAGGGCAGCACAGAGCTGTTAATGTTCTTTGTACCTGGTCCTCTCCAGGCAGCCAAAATAAAGAAAGGTGTAGTAGACAGAAGAATAAATAAGTTGGCAATGCTTACATTACTTTTTGTGTACTTTCTCATGATGGATAGTTATATGCATATTTACTCTGCAAATACAAAATGGATGCTCTTTTATTTTTAAACATTTTAAATTGATAATAGTAGCATTCACTGTGTTCTAAATACTGTATTAGAATGCTAATAAACACCTAATCCGCACAAAACTTCTGCATGGTAGGTATATTCAGAATAGGGAACACAGGCTATAAGGTTATCCTTGTTAAGTTAACCTTATTGAACAAGTTAACCAAATTGAACAATTGTTAATATTTTAAATGCATATGAGTCCTTTGACTTGCTCTAATTTTAATGTATTGCTTCAGAACTAATAAAATAGGCAATTTCAAGCCTATAGATGGACCAGGGCTTTGTTGGTAAATAGGACCAAGGCCTCAGGATGGCAAAGGGTAGAAAGCACTCCCATTGGTGGAGCTAAAGGGGTAGCAGCCAGGAGGGCTCACTTTGCAGTGCCGCGCTCTTTCCTCCTTTGCCATGATTTATTTCTGTGAAAGCCACCTTAATTTCGTGGACCTTATTCATTTATTGTGGACTTAGGTACCTGGCACTATGCTGGGGGAGCAACCATGACAAGGGCATAATTCTGGCCAGCCAAGAGAATTGGTGCTGCTGGTTTGGGAGATGCTGAATTAATTTGCTCTCATGGGAGCAAAAGAATATAAGGAGAGTAAAAAACAAGGGCAGCACAAAGTCAGTGCAGTAATACAGGTACGTAAAAGAGCTTTCGGAGCAAAGAGAAAGGAACAATTAAGTAAATGCAGGGAGTCAGGGAAAACTCACAGCAGAGATGTTTGAGGCTGGCTGTGAAGTTAAGTGAGAGTTCATCAGCTAGAGAAGTGGCAGGGTGGGCGGTGTCATTCGAGATGGAAATTAGTACGTGTAAAAGCATTAGGGGTTGAAGAACATTTTCTGAAAATAGAACGAAGAATTCATATGCCGAGAAGGGAAGTTGGATGATGAGGCTAGAAATAGCAGGCTGCAGCTAGTTTGTTTTGCTGGGTTTGGGAAGTTAAGGAGTTTCAACTTCTCTACCAGTGGGCAGTCATCACAGGCTCTTAAGTTAGGAGTAACAGGATTAAATTCGCTATCAGTGTAAAAATTGCCCATAACAGATTTGGGATTCTGATTCTACTCACCTGTATTTAACACCTACATGTGCTTGATTTTATATATATTATTTAATGATGGCATCAACCTTGTGTGACAGGTATTTATCCCTACTTTACAGCTAAGAAAGTCGGGTCTCGTGGAGGTTAAACCACTGACTCAGATTCACATAAGTAGCTGGTGATAAAAGAAGGGCACCTCCAGTGGACAGCTGATGGCAGCATGGGAAAGGACAAAGGCTTGCAAAAACATCCCTTAGTAGTGAGGAATAGTGAGCTAGTTACATCGGAGTCAGACAAGTAGATGGTTTCTGATAAGATAACAAGTTATTTAGAAAACGATGTACCAGTCTTTATAATCTGAAATGGACAGTGTTGGTAGTTTCTAATATAAGCATCTCAGTGGTCAGGAATGCATTATTACTGCATCTTTACAGATGTCAACCTGAAAGATTTCAGACTCTGAAGTCGGGCACATGAAAGTGCTTGGCACCTTGCCCATCGTGTTGTCTCGTTGCTCAGTAACTGCTGAGTCAGGATCGAGACAGCATGGAAGAGGCCTCTGAAGTTAGCATCTTCTCACACACAATGCGGCTGGTTCAGAATTCACTGGTTTGGGATGCCAGACACTTACAGAAATAGCTTTGTTTTAGTTTGCAGGTTCTGACTTTTAAGCAAGTTCAGAAATTCACATGATCAGCTAAGATTTTATTCTAGGAAGCAAAGAAAAGAAAAAACCACCACCACTGTAGATACATTTTAGAAAGAAAAGATATATAGAAACACCAGAAGCCATAGTCGGAAGGCATTGTTCTTCCCGTCTCCCCTGACTCATGTCCTGCTTGAGAATGCTGTTCAATGCATCAGTGGACTTTACTATAAGATGTGTTTAGCTGCCTATACAAGGGCTCTTCCCTCTGTGCTGCTGATACCGTACAGCCCGAGAGGAGGCTGTGAGAGGTCGCAGGTCAGCCTGAACCCTGTTGCCTACGTCTGTTCTCTGTAGCCCTTTTCTCTGCAGCCCTGACAACCAGCTTTGATTTCTGTAAGATACATAGATACAGGAGTTGCCTCAGACGCCAGAATTCAGTTCTGCGTTCCCTGTGGAGGAGGTCGTGTGCCTCCCCATCTCCTACCTTCTCTCCCTCACCCCTCCCTCCCTCTCATTGTTTGTGAATCTCTAGCTAGCAAGCCACAGAGCTGAAGTGTGAGTGCAGGTCTATCTGTTTGCCCAGCCTGTGGTCCTTCCACCCCACCCACTGCCTCTGGGAGCTCCTGCCCAAATGAAAGGCCGTTGAGTTGCCATCTGCCATAGAGTCATCACTATAGAATTTCCCCTTTTCAAGGAAGTTAAATAGAAGGAACTGAATACCAAGAATGCTTAGGTCAACACAAAGTAACCTAATATTGACTATCTACCACCCCGTTTCTAGAAGAACCTTTCTTTCCTTGTCAGTGACCTTTACATGGTTTGCTCCAATGAAGCAGGGTTTTCTTCATTTCCTCCTTTTCCCCCCTAAATTGTTGCCAGGCTTTGGCACAAAAGTCAATAGTAAGGTAGTCAATACATGTCAGTTCCAACCTATGTTATTAAACTGATACTAATGAGGAATTATTTTTGCAGATTCCAAATGGTCTATAGTTGGATTTAACAATAATGTTTATTTCATTTTACTAGTTAATTGATTTATTTTAAAATCAGATTTAAAATTCTCTATTGGATCTTTACTTTGAATACCTGATTTGGAGTATAGAACCCAAATATAATTTAGGTAGTTAGGGGTATTGTCGGGCAAATGACATGAACTTTCTTTTTGGTGGGGATGGATCACTTTTCTTGTTTAGAGTGCAATATTTGACGCATTCAGAAGGATATTGGGAAATATATGGAACTTATGAAGCATAATGATAAATGAACATCTACAAATCCACTTAGAGTTCAGCACTTGACTTAATGAGAAAGTTTAAGTACCATTGAGACTTCCTGTGTGCTTTCCCCATCACATTCTCCACCCGCCCTCCCCTAAATAAGCACTCTGGAGTTTTGTTTATTCTTCCCTAACGTTTATTCGCCTTATTATTTTACAGCCTGTGGCCAAATGGTTGATTTTCTTGTTTGTTACCATTTCACCTTAACCTTGAGTGAATGCATGATTGTCCTCAAACTAAAGTTAAGCATATTAAGTTGCACACTAATGCACATGAGTGTCTAAATATAGTCTGGATATGCTTGATTTAAATGCATATGCAACCAAATTCTGTAATACGATTTGAACCCAGGCAATACGCAACTGTGTTTACTAACCTTACAAAATCAGCTCTTTCATTTCACTGAACATGTAGAATCCCTGTGGTGAATACTTTCTCCACATAGCTTAGTCTTTTTCAGCATTACTGTTGTGTTTTGCTCCCCATACATTAATCAAATGGAAGGAGGAAAATAATCATTAATCAAATGGAAGGAGGAAAAAAATCACTTATGAATATAGCAGTTGTGTGTTATGATCTCTGATTTTGCTCTTTAAGACATTCTTCACTAAAACTTTTCTTGCTTTAATTGCATCAATTTTTTTAAAACCATCCTTATTCATTTCTTTAAAAATGTTACTCTTTTTGTTAGGATGGACGTTTGAAGCCAGGAGATCAACTTGTCTCAGTAAACAAGGAATCTATGATTGGTGTATCATTTGAAGAAGCAAAAAGCATAATTACCCGAGCCAAGTTGAGGTAACTATTCTATTCACAGGATAAAAGGAATCATTTAGCATGGCTCCTTAAAATAGTAATTTTTAAGATGTCGTAAGTACTTGAGACCCTAAAAGAATATTTTGAAGTAATATGTGAAATATTTTAGAATTAAATTGTACTATATCCATAATACATTCATAAAGTGTTTTCTTATTAATGCTAGGTCAGAACCTGCTTGGGAGATAGCATTCATAAGACAAAAATCGGATGGCAGTCACACAGAAAATCCACCGTGTACACCCCTTTTACAGACCTCTGGAGAATATGGACCTCCAGCTTCAGCATTTAATCTTCTTTCTTCTCCCCCTGAAATACCGATTCCAAAGACCTCATCTACCCCCAAAACTATAGATGCTATTTTACCTTCTTTGAAGGGAAATCAGGTACTCTTCCATTTCTGCTTTCTTATGTAGTCCATAAATCCCCCATATGTTTTTTATATTTGCCATATACATCGAGAATTATCATTTTGGTAATACGTTGTCTTAGCAAACTGGTATTTCCTTGATTTTTTTTTTTTTAAAGATTTTTATGCTGTGCTGTCAATAAATACAATTTACTCAAGTCAGTGTGTCTTTTGCCCAGAAAACTATGATCAGGAATGGCATCACCAAGATACATGTAGATATCACTTGGAACTATGTTAGGAATATCACATATGTTTTCAGACGGTCATTAGTACGATCCAGTACATTATTATCTCTGTTTCCTGCTTGACTAAAGGCAGGCAGTATTCCTTCATGTTCCTCAGCTTCTTTCCCACACACAGAGTAATCTCTGCCACGCAGTGTGGGTGGGTATGTTCCTCATGTGTGGCTACTAGGATATCATTCACCCTCGCAGACACACAAAGGGGGGTTTCTGCATCAAAATCAATACAATTAATAACTACTTGCTGCAGTAGCCTAATAAATCAAAGTTATAAAGTAAAGAGTATGTAGTCTTTAAGTGTGTGCTAGCTATAAAGTAAAATAGGAAACTCAGGTCGGCTTTCAGTCAGTGAAATACAATTTGTCAGAGGTAACTTCAGTTACTGGTATATGCTAATCAGATACAGGGTCTAAGATTTTCTGTCAGCCCCTGATACTTTTTCATTTGGGGTGATAACCTTTTCATGGCTTATCTTGTTGTCCTCATTTGGGGTGATAACCTTTTCAACGACAAGGTACATGGCCTATTTTGTTGTCCTTGGATGGTAGAGCTGAAAGCTGTTTTTACGTTTAATCTGAATTTCTTTGAAGATGGATTTACCAAATTTTTAGAGGTTTTATATTTTTTTGAACTAATGCTTTAGTCACTTTAGCCATTCTTTTTATGTTAACACTAGAGGCCCAGTGCACAAAATTCATGCACTAGTAGGGTCCCTACAGGCTGCTGGTCGCTCTCCCTTCCCCCAGCCGGCCCCACCCTCTGGTCGAACTCCCGGAAGAACTCCCAGTTGAGGGGACAATTTGCATACTACGCTTTTATTATATAGAAAGAGCTTCTAGTCTAGTCTTTGACCTTCTTTAGAAAATGAGATTTCAAGTTTCTCACTGTCTTTCATAGTTAAGAACTGGATACAAGAAAACAGAACAGACTTCAGTTGCTTCTTCGGACCACAGCCCTACAGATATGTCTAATACAGGTAAGTGCACACTTAATTCCTCTTTCCTATTATTTTTTGCAATGACTCTGTCTCTCTCAATGAGGAGTATGTAATGTGACTTAATAGACTTTAAGGAAGGATGCATTAAGTCTTCTTTCCCACAGTGAATAAAAGAGCAAAATGCATGCATTGTGCCATGGTCCCTGTCAGATTATGACTTTTACTGGAAATTTTCCTGAACAACCGTTAACATTTTCAAAGATGCATTAGAATAACAGTGCCTATGAAGCTGCAGCAATCAACTAACTGTTGAAACCAAGTAATGAAAACTCTTTCTAAATCAAGATTAGGTTGCCTTGCCCTTTTAGCAAAATGCTGGTGAGGTATATTAAATGCCCCTTTCAGAGAAATCATCGAAGGAAGCATTTTAAGAAAATAAATATTTTTGGGTGTGTTTTTAAGAGATTATATAGATGTAAATTAGAAAGAATATTAATATTGTAAATCCAGTGTTATTGGTTTTTAATTACCGTGGAATGATTTACTGACTGTTTAAAATAATAAAAGATTGTGTAAGCCACCCATAAGAGAAGGATTTTTATCAAGCTGTAAAGTGTATATTGTCTCAAAAATGAAGAAAAATTCCTTCCTTCAAATTATTTCCAAAAGTTAAGCACAAGTCAAAAGTCTATACAGGATGGGGCAAAAGTAGGTTATAGTAGTTCATACAGAAAACAATATAGTCCTATATAATAAAAGCCTAATATGCAAATCAACTGAATGGCACAACCACCGGTGGGACGACCGGTCGCTATGATGCGTACTGACCAACAGAGGGCAGACGCTCAATGCAGGAGCTGTCCCCAGCCCGCAGGCCCCAGGCCAACCAAGGTGGGTGCCAGCGGGGGGCCTCCCGATCACCCTGCCAGTCACCCCGCAGAGGGAAGCGACTGGCGACAGCGGCAGGGTAATGGGGGGCAGGCAAGTGGCATCAAGCCAGCCAAGGCAAGTGCCAGCGGGGGCCCCAATCACCCTCTGGTCACCCCTCAGATTGGCCCTGATTGCCAGCCAGGCCAAGGGACCCTACCCATGCACAAATTTCGTGCATCGGGTCTCTAGTTATTAATAAATAATAATACAAGAATAAACTTTCGCATGCTCACAAGTGTAAGCCTACTTTTGCCTCACCCTGTACTTATAGAAAAGTTCATTATATATGTCTAAATTATAATGCAAATTATTACCCATAGGTTTCAGTTTTTGATAGCATTATTTAGATCAGAATTACAAAATAAGGAATAGTTAGTATAAATTACATAGTGTCTTAGTCTGTTTGGGTTACTCTAACAAAACACCACAGACTGGGTAGCTTATAAACAACACATATGTATTTCTCACAGTTCTGAAGCCTGGAAGTCCAGGATCATGGGGCCAGCATGGTCCCGGTGAGAACTTTTCTCCGGCTGCAGGCTTTTCATCATCATGTCATCACGTGGTGGAAAGGGCTAGGGCAGTGGTCGGCAAACTCATTAGCAGAGCCAAATATCAACAGTACAACGATTGAAATTTGTTTTGAGAGCCAAATTTTTTAAACTTAAACTATATAGGTAGGTACATTGTTATTAACTTAATTAGGATACTCCTAAGTCTTAGGAAGAGCCACACTCAAGGGGCCAAAGAGCCGCATGTGGCTCGCGAGCCGCAGTTTGCCGACCACTGGTAGGGAACACTGTAGGATCCCTTTATAAAAGCACTAACCCCACTCATGAGGGCTCTATCCTCATGACCCAAGCACCTCCCAAAGGCCCGCCTCCTAGTACCATCCTCTTTGGGGTTAGGATTTCAGTATGAATTCTGCAAGGGCACAAACATTCAGACCATTGCATGTAGCTACCGTACTTAACAGGAATTCAGAGTAGATTCCATAGTAGTTTCCTCTGGTTTGGAGCAGTATTGACTCGGATGGTGGTAGCAATCTTTAGCCATAAATAATGTGCCTTTTTACTTAATGGGATTTGTTGACTATTAGAAATTTTATTAGTGCATTCCTGTCATATAATTATTTCCATGCTCTTGATATATTATTTTCTATTTTAAACTCTAACCTCACGTGAGCAAAAAAGATAAAAGAAGCAAACAATGGTCAGGAGACATTTGTGTAACATGCTTTTAAGGTTGAAAGTAATTGAACTACTCAACACCTCTCTTAGTCTTTTACTTATTCGGTAAGCACTTACTGAGTATGTCATATGTATGAAAACATGCTCCAGTAGAAATTATGAAAGAATTAGGATACTTTCCGTGAGATATTTAATTACATATTGTGAATAAAACATGGTGTTTTAAAAAAAACCTTCCTTATTCAGATTAGAAAAAGAAATGTGTGTGAGTGTGTTTATGTGTGTGTGTGTTTATGTGTGTGTGTGTTTATGTGTGTGTGTGCTTATGTTATCGAATAACTACTGTGTGAGTATTCTGTGTGAACTGAAGCAGAGTGTGGATGGACTTAGTACTCTAAGGAGCATCTACTCTTGTGGATGAATTACACATTTGAACAAATGGTATGAAGCCATGAGCAAAGTGGACTAAGGAGGGAAAGTAGTAAGTGGTGTAGGGAAGGCTCTGAATGGAAACTTATGTTGCCGACCTTAGGTTCTTGAGTCTCAATGTCATAGGAAGGAGCACTGAACTCAGTACAAGATGAAGCAGACAGACTTTATTGAAAAGAGCTTGTGCACTAGGAAGTGGACCAGAAGAGAGAAGTGACTCCCTAGGGGTTCTTGTGGATGGCTTATACAGGCGCCAGGGGTGGGTGTAGGGCCTGGAATGAGGAGGAAGGTGCTGTCCCACAGTGGTATTCTGGTGGCGGGTGATCCAGGGGTAGTCACAAGATGTTTTCTATGGTCAGTGGACCACTCAAAGGGTCTGTAAAATAATGCTTGCGCAAACGTTCTAGTTATTTTAAAGATTAATGAGTTTATATATGTAAAGTACTTCGTGCACTGTCTGACTAAAAGTAAGCATACATAAGAGCTAACGTGTTTTATTTCCACTGTTACATAGCATTTTTTAAAATACGTTTTATTGATTTCAGAAAGGAAGGAAGAGCTAGAGAGAGAGAGAAGCATCAATGATGAGAGAGAATCATTGATCAGCTGCCTCCTGCATGCCCACAACTGGGGATGGAGCTGCAACCCGGGTATGTGCCCTTGACCTGAATAAAACCCGGGACCCTTCAGTCCGCAGGCCGACACTCTGTCCACTGAGCCAAATCGGCTAGGGCAGTGGTTGGCAAATGGCGACTTGCGAGCCACATGCGGCTCTTTGGCCCCTTGAGTGTGGCTCTTCCTAAGCCTTAGGAGCACCCTAATTAAGTTAATAACAATGTACCTACCTATATAGTTTAAGTTTAAAAAATTTGGCTCTCAAAAGAAATTTCAATCCTTGTACTGTTGATATTTGGCTGTTGACTAATGAGTTTGCCGACCACTGGGCTAGGGCAACACAGGAAATTTTTCATCTTAGATATAGGAAAACGTAAATGAGAGTGCGTGCCTTAGTGCGTATGGATGGTGTGTGTCCCTGTGCCTCCCTCTCTCTTCCTGATCCCTCTCTCTCTCAACGCCTCTCCAAGTGTGCACTTAAACTTGAACTGAGTAGTGCACGCCCAGGGTTGGTCTTGGTCTGAGACCATAATTAGGTGAGCTTGGGTCCACCTAGTGTCAGTGTGCCTTAACTGTAGGTAGGCCAGGCACCAAGCTGAACGGCATTGTCAAGCCTCACAAGTCCAAACCTTAAAAATGAAAAATAATGTTAGACTTACCTGCTATGTGGTCTTTCATGCCATGCCACTCCGTGCTCCTCTTTTAGGCCACTCTTTGGTTTGGCAGAGAATTTCTCTTAAGGGTATTGAACCAAACTGAACTGAATTGAACAAGGGTCTGCCTGTCGAATGCACAGGAAAGCCAAACACTGAACATTGAGGAGAAATTAAAGCCATTTCATTGGTAGGGCACCAAGCAAGGAGAATGGGGAGCTGATTCTCCAGTTACATTAAGAGAAAAAAAATACACATATGGTATTTTTATCTCGTGGCCAACAATTAGGTAGCACATCAACAAAGGACACTTCGTTGCTTTTTCAAAATTGCAAAAATTCTTTTCTATTAAAATCAGTCTTTCTCACATTTGATTCCACTTGAAATTAAAAGTCAGTAGCCATTTTTTATCTTGACACATATAAGCTATATTCAAGATTTTACATAGAATGTTAACGATGTGTTAAAGGTTTAGAGGAAGACTATTTATTTTCATACGCGCTTCTTATGTTCTAAAGAGAATGCAAATCATTTTGTACTTAGAGACAGATGCTCCAAGAAATTAAAAAAAAAAATTAAAACACTGCATAAAGATGTGACATTTTAAAAAGTTTTTTTCTCTTCCTCGTTTCTATGTAGAACTAGTAAAATACCATTTGAAAGTGTATTTAGAATAGTGACAATTTAGATACAAGGATTGACGTGAATTATAGCAATTTGTTTTACAAACTCTGGCATATTAAAACGAATAATGTTTTCCAGTTCCTAGTCCTGGATGGCACCTGGTACCTTATCCACACAACCAGGACAAAGGCTTGTCTAAATAATCAGCCTCCATTGAAAAGGTGCCAAAGAATAATGGTATATAAACTCCAACTCTTGAAAGTCCATTTATACATCTTGAAATATAACCTTCTGTAAAATAAGAAATGGGATTTTGAGTTCAAGAAGTTATAAGTCCATTATAGTAATGTGTAAATTTGAAACCATCTGCATTTTTTAGTTTTTCTGTAGTACTTCCAGAACTCACATAACAAAACCACTTTTGCCAGCCAAAGAAATATCATGATCTATTTGAGTTTCTCATATGATTTTACTTATTTGGGAAGAAAAAAAAGACTTTTCATTTTACAATTAGGAAAGTGTTGTGATGACAGGGTCGTGGTAGTAGGATGTGTGTTTGTCTTTTAAATTAGTATTTCCATGGGACTTAATGCTGATTGGTCATCTTTTAATATCACATATTTTAGGGCTCAAGTGAAGCTTGTTTGTATGATGCATTTTAGACTTAACGAAAAACCCATGAAAACCAAAGTGAAAACTGCCAGCTGATTAACCAGGATTTTTTTTAACAGCAGGAGCTCAGAACGCATCCTGTCACATGAACATTTCTATTCCAATTAAATTTCCAATCACTGTGCACCCTGTTGTCTCCCAGATGCTGCCCCTGTCTGGACCGATAATTATGGACCACAAGGAAGGACGGTCTCCCTAAATCCCTCCGTTCGCCTTAAGGCAGAGAAACTGGAAATGGTAAATACTTTAAATGTCCATTTTTCTTCCATAAAACAACAGCAAGGAAGGCCTCTCATCTTGGAGAGGATAAAGGCCTGGAGCCATTAGTTTCTTGAGGTGCTGTTTTATGCAATGAAATGAATGGCAGTTTGGATTTAAATGAACTTATTCATGTTTGAGTTGGGCAGTTCATGTTGTTCACTAGTACAAAATAAAAATTAAACCTTTTGTCATTAAGTCGACATCCACATTCATCTGTTTCCTCCTGTGTATAAGACAAATGTGAATTCTTGCCGCGTGGAACCCAAGGACACATGGACTAAATTATGACAAAGTATAGTAGACTTCATATGTCAGAGCAATAAGTGCAAGTAATACTCCCATTTGTTCAATTTTTTAAAAAATAAAGGGAAACTAAATCCTAAAGAACCTTAATAGTCAGGTATTACTGACTATTAGGAAGATGGTAGCACTATACAAAAGGCACACAAAAAAGCCCCGGGGGGAGTAAAACATCGAGAGATTCTGTATGTAAAAGAAACTTAAGATGATTAAAAAGAAAAATTAAAAGTAAAAATGCATTTAAAACTGGTTTTTGTCCCGTTACTTGGGAGCTAACAGCAAAAATGTGCTATGTCTTATTTTTTTAATATAAAAATTGATACAGTGTTAGAGGCCCACAGCCTCTACTTTCCTATCATAATTTGTGGATGATAATGTTTTACATTTTAGGAAGAGTATGAAAATGCACATCTGGAATAAGCACACATTGCTCTTATTCCCATGTTCATACCTTTGCATGGTCCTATAGCAGCACCGTTTTCATTGCCAATTTGAATCTTCTCCATTACTCAAATTCTGACTCAACTCCAACTCCCCTGTCTAGACTTTGCTAACTATTGTGGTTAGAGCCAATATCGCCTTAGTTTGTACATCTGTACATCACTTTGTAGTTTCCTATAATCTTTTCTGTATCTTGCTTTATCAACGAGCTAAAGCTTCGTCACAACAGTTCCCATGTACCTACCACTGTTTAAACACCTGGTTTGTGCTCAGTGAAACTTTCCGATCCATTGGATACTTGAGATGTCTTTTTGATATTTTAAAACTCCTGAGTATCTTTTGCTAACTTGTACTCTCTTTTTCTTTTTGGGTAAGATGTAAGTTCTGGCTTACGGCAAAGTTTACAACCAGTTAATATTAACATTTTCAAAAAATAAAATGTTTGAGGTTTGAAAACATATTAATAACTAAAAATGGATAATTATTGGTTCTTAATGATGTTGGTTTAACATACATTTCTGAACATTCAAGATTTAATGCTAACCATTCGTCTGGATAAGGAGAAAATTATCCAGCTAAACACTGTCTGGCAGCCTTTATTCTTTCACTTGGTTTAAATTTTTTAGTGTAATTTTCTTAGAGATATGATTCTTAGAATATGAGTTACTTGACTACTGAATCAGAATTCCTGTTTTGACTTTCCTTTTAGCCTAAGCAAATTATTTTTTTAGAAAAATGAAACAGTAGTTTTACAGCTAAAGGAGCCCACATTCTTTGTAAATTCAGCTTCCCAGCTTTGATTCAAGATATTTTTAGTGACTATTCTGGAGAGCATTCCTTGTTTTCAGAGTTTGAAACTGTATTTTACTTAATAATTTCCCCCCTAAAATCCAAATTAGCATCTGTTCGCCCAATTATTTCCTAAGCTACTCTTCCTTTTTTGGATAGTTAGCTATTACTACCATAATATCTGTACCACTTTCATTTAAAATAGGTCCTTCTATTTTACTTGCTACTTTGTAGACAAATTCAACTTTATCATCCATTACATTTTTAACGTATTTTCTATTCAGTGATAGATATGGAAAATGTGATCAAGTATTTAAGATGTATTAAAACTATATCTTTATTTCTTCAACTTCTGTAAATATAGTGCATATGGTATCTAGAAAATGTGTGCTGTGATAAGATTTCACAAGGAAAAGGTGTTGACTGATTATGTGGTTATTAACTAATTACCCTACTTAGTGCAATTTTTAAGAAAGGCAGAGAGGTTAGAATTTGATGAAGGGCAGTACCTGTGAAGACATATGTATGAATGGCAGTGTTCTCAGGAAATCCTCTTTGTTTTTCTTGTCTAAGTAGATGATTTTAAATCAGAATCTCCTGGAAAGTGATTCCCAACATTGAATTCATTTTATTTTAATTCACTGTCTGAGAAAAAATGATTGCCTCTTTTCATGAATATTCTAAAAATGATTTTTTATATACAGATATTTTTATATAATTTCACCAGACTTATTTAGTGATATATTTTTTCATAGTATTTTTATAAGTACTGTGTGTCTCATCTGATCCTAACATTAAACTTATAAGCAGGTATGGTAAACATAGCAAATAGAAATACAGTTTATTAGTTGGCTTGAAGACACCTGTATGCTATCTATATTTTTGTACCTGGGAAAGATACTTTTGGATACAGGTGCCATTTCGCTGGTATTTACTTTACCTCTTGCCATTTCTGTAACATTTGAAGAAAGCTGTAGTGAGCAATGCGTACCCGATGTCTGATGATAGTTAATGAGATGTTCTTTGTTATTAGGCTGGGAAGTATGTGTCTAGTATTGTACAGAAGTAACATTTTTTTAAAATTCATCATCCAGACACCAGAAAACGTTAAGGACAGATATTGTCCAATTAATACATTTTTAAGGCTAAAAGATGACATTCAATAAATTATTAGAACCTACTTTATGATTAAACATAAGTTACTTGCAATTTAAATTCATGAGCTTGCCTCACTGACATGCTATATTCATTTAGAATAAATTCACATTCAACAAAACTTTCACCTATGACTAAGTTTAACTCTAGACCAATTTACACTGTGATTAACTGCATTTTGCAACTTTATTATTACTTGATATAATAAGAGTCACCATATGAGTACCTTCTGTGATAGGTGTCTTAATTGCATTATTTTTATAAAATTGTTTTTATATCTTCATAATATCAATTATACACACAATGATTATATTATAATGTTCAGTTTAAAGAATAATCAACACATGTACTCACCACCCAGCTAAGAACGAGAACTTTTGAAATTGCCTGTTTCTTCTTGATACATGCTACAACATAGATAAATCTTGAAACATTAAGCTAAGTGAAAGAAGCCAGACACAAAAGCCACAAATTGTATGATTCTGTTTGTATGAAATGCCCAGAATAGGCAAATCCATACATACAGAAAATAGATTAGTGCTTGCCTGGGGCGGGGGTGGGGGTAGGTAGGGAACTAGGAAGTGCCTGCTAATGGGGATGGGACTTCCTCTGGGAGGTGATGAAAATTTTCTAGAATTAGTGGGGATTGATACACAACTTTGTGAATATACTTAAAGCCTCTTAACTGTATACTAAAATGGTGAATTTTATGAGATGTGAATTAAATATCAATAATTCTATTTATAAAACAAAAAGTCACATCCTTAAAAATATTTCTAAAACTATTCACATTGTGTACTTAAAAAAATATAAAGTAATGGTGTGAAAACATGTCTGAGATTGTCCATAGAAACTCCATAAGATGAGAATATTAAAAAGTGAAAAGTTATGCCCAAAACTGGGAGAAAATATGTATAATACCCATAACGTATAAAATGCTAAATTACAAAGAATTGTACAAATCAATCAGAAAAAGACCCATCAACACTACTCCTAGGTATTTACCCTAAAGGAATTTTTACCCTTGTGCTGTGGTAGATATGTACAAGAATGTTCACTGCTGCATTGCTGGCAAGCAAAAAACCCCACTGCCCATCTTCAGGAGTATGGGCGAATAAATTGTGGCATATTAATATAATTATTACATTTGTCAGTAAAAGTGGATGCATTAATCTCATAGTAGCATATAACCACATGGATGAATAATAAAACGATACTGCAGGATGAAAAATTAAAGTTTCAGAAGGCGGTCTGCAGCTTTTTTATGAAGCTTAAAAACAGCAAAACAAAGTAACATTAGGGATATGTATATGTGACAAACCATTTTAAAATAAATAGTATGGAAATTTTAGTATTGGCAGTTTTGTAATTCTAAGATGGATTCATGCATGTTTTATTTTATTGTCCTGATTTAAAATGTATGTTACATACAATATATGCTGTTAGTATACATCAAATGTTATATAATAAAATGTTTGGGAATATTAAACCAAATGTATGACAGCTGTTACCTAAAGGGAGAAGTTCAGAAGGGCCTTTTGTTAGGTTGCATTGGTGGTATAGTGGTGAGCATAGCTGCCTTCCAGAAGGGCCTTTTGCAATCTTTTGTTAATTCATAATCTGATCTAAATATACCTCAATGCTAAGCTTTAATATACTATTATAGCAATTTTAAAAAGCATGCAAAAGGTCTAAAATCTACAAAATAGGAAGCTGTGATATGTTGATAGTTTTAAAAAATCAGAACACTCTATATAGTGTAATTTAATTATTTCAAAATACATAATTTACATATATATTTATATATAGACTAGGGGCCCGGTGCACGAAATTCATGCACTGGGTGTGTGTGTGGGGGGAGTGTCCCTCAGCCCAGCCTGCCCCCTCTCACATACTGAGAGCCCTCAGGCGTTGACCCCCATCACCCTCCAATCACAGGATCGGCCCCTTGCCCAGGCCTGATGCCTCTGCTAGAGGTGTCAGGCCTGGGCAGGGGACCCTCATTTCCCCCCATCACTGGTTCTGCCCCCAGCCCAGGCCTCATGCCTCTGGCCCAGGATTCAGGCCTGGGCAGGGGACCCCCTTTTCCCCCCCATCACCGGCTCGGCCCTTGCCCAGGCCTGATGCCTCGGCCAGAGGCGTCGACCCCCATCACCCTCCGATCTCCTGATCGGCCCCTTGCCCAACCTGACGCCTCCGCCAGAGGTGTCAGGCTTGGACAGGGGACCCCCATCTCTCCCCGGTCACTGGCTCTGGCCCCCGCCCAGGCCTGATGCCTCTGGCCCAGGAATCATGCCTGGGCAGGGGACCCCCATCTCCCTCTGATCGCTTGCTCCCCCTCCCCGCCCAAGCCTGACGCCTCCGACCCAGGCTTCAGGCCTGGGCAAGGGGACCATCATATCCCCCCAATCCCCAGCTCCGCCCCCCACCCAGGCCTGATGCCTCGGCCAGAGGAGTTGACCCTCATCACCCTCCGATCGCCGATCACCGGATAGGCCCCTTGCCCATGGCCTGAGGCCTCCGGCAGAGGTGTCAGGCCTGGGCAGGGGACCCCCAGCTCCCCGCGGTTGCAGGCTCCGCCCCTGCCCAGGCCTAAGGCCTCTGGCCAAGGCATTAGGCCTGTGCAGGGGACCCCCAGCTCCCCGCGATCTCCTGCTCTGCCCCTGCCCAGGCCTAATGCCTCTGTCCCAGGCGTTAGGCCTGGGCAGGGCACCCCCAGCTCCCCGTGGTTGCAGGCTCCGCCCCTGCCCAGGCCTAACACCTCTGGCCAAGGCATTAGGCCTGGGCAGGGGACCCCCAGCTCCCCGTGGGATCAGGTCCCGGGCGACCTCCGGCATGCCCCCAACCCGCTCTCGCGGGTTGGGGGTGTGACTGCAGGCGTATGCCGCAGCCACCCCGCCGGCCCGCGTCCGGGACTGCAGGCAGGATCGGGTCCTGGGTGAGTGCGGGCGGAGGCTGCAGCCGCCTCGCCCGCCCGTGTCCGGGTCTGCCGGCGGGATGGGGTCCCGGGCGACCGCCAGCACTCACACTCCCAACCCGCTCTCTGATGGCACTGTACCATCCTGCCTGCAGTATGCAAATTAGCAGCCATCTTTGTTGGCGGTTAACTGCCATCTTAGTTGGCAGTTAATTTTCATATCACCGTGATTAGCCAATGGGAAGGGTAGCAGTCGTACGCCAATTACCATGTTTCTCTTTTATTAGTGTAGATGCTATGTCCATAGCAAAAATTCAGAAAACTTATACATCAAACTGTTAATAGTGTTGGTCCCTAAAGCCGTGTTTTTCAAGGACAAGGATGTGGAAATTTGCCTTGGGGGACATTTGGCAATGTCTGGAGATATTTTTGGTTTTCATAAAAATTAGTAATCACTAACAAAAATTACATCTTAAGAGTCTGTATATGAAAATTTAAAACCTATTGCTAAGTAATTTGTGAGTTAAAAATATTGCTAATCAACATGGGAAAGATTAATATCACTTGTAATTAGGGGAATTCAAATTAATACACAATGTACTATTTCATATACAACACATTGACAGAAATTGAACTGTGAAAGCATAAAATGCTGCTAAGAATGTAGAAAATAGGAGTGCTTATGTCCTAATTGTGTGCATAAATTGCTTGGTACAACCAATACGCAGAGTTATTTTACAATATCTATTAAAGTTGACTTTATAAACCCTATGACTCCACATTTCCTCTTCTAGGGATATACTGTAGAGAAATTTTCACACAACTATACAAGGATATATATATATAATTTCTTGTAATGAAAACCAAATTGGAGTAACTATAAAAGCCCATCAACCAGGCTGGTGTGGCTCAGCAGTTGAGCATGTACTTATGAACCAGGAGGTCACAGTTCGATACCAGGTCAGGGCACATGCCTGGGTTGTCAGCACGATCCCCAGTAGGCAGCTGATCAGTGATTCTCATCATTGATGTTTCTCCTCTCCCTTTCTCCCTGAAATCAATAAAAAAAATTTTTTTTTCAAAAAGCCCATCAATCAAGGAATGGGTGATAAATTACAACATTCATACAGTTGGATACCATTTCAAGTTAAAATAATTGAACTAGTTTTGCAAATAATATCGAGCAATTATGAGATCATAACACTGAGGTAAAAATAAAAATATTGGTAAGATTATTCTTTTGTACTGTACTGTTCATGAACAATTTCAATTGCGTAAGAGTACATATTATTAGGGGATGCATGAATTAATGGCATCAAATCATGGACAGGAAGGATACACCAACCTTAGCTGTATCCTGTTTAAGAACAATGGAGAAAGCTTTTAACTAAGTCATCAATGTTTATTTCTTAAAAACATGCATGTCATAGAAATGTACACTTGAAACCTATATGACCCTATTATGACCTATATTATGACCTATATATGACCTATATTAACCAAGGTCACTCCAATTTATTTAAAATATATATATAAATTTCAAACAAATATTAATAAGTACTTAGTGTTAGCAAATACATAGGTGTTCTTTGTATTATTCTCTTTCCTTTATTTTTATTTGGAAAATTTGGAATATTTTTATGACTGGAGGCAAAGAACACCAGAAGTTAAGAATCATTATTCCATATTATTCAAGGCAAATATTTATAAGTGTGTAGACAGGGTAGTCAGATAATGCTAGACTAAGCCCTAGAATCACTTTTAAAGGAATCTTTCCAGATGTTCTCTTTCCTCCTGTCTCCTTCCTTCACTGTGCCCAGCCACCTGTGCATTTACCCGGTTTGTTGTGGCCATAGTAGATCCTGTATACACTTCTATTAAATTAGATATTGCACTAATTACAGTTATTTACATGTTATCCTCACTCTGAAGATCATACTAGCGCTCTATCTTGTTTGGGTGTCCCTTTGCCTGACATATAGTAAGCACTAAGTAAATATTTGGTAAATGAAATGATGAATGAATGAACAGATTCCAAAGGAGGAAGAAATTTATAAAGGACTATTGCCAATATTAAACTTTGCCTATATTTTAGTCTTGTTATGATTGACACAGAATATGTTCTTGCCAGAATTCAACAATAGGGCATCAGTGCGGCCCTATGCATTAGTTAAGGTTAGAATTTGCTATAAATAACTGGAGAACCTAAAATAACAGTGGTCTCCATTAGAAATTTACTTCTCTTGCACCTAAAAGAAACCTGAAAGAAGATAATCCAGGACTGGCCTGGAAGTTCCACAGTGTTGGGGTCCCCTGTCCCAACTATCGTCTTTCTGCTCCCCCATCGTTATTGAGATTGCTCATGAACCAGAATGACCACTTGAATTTCAGCAACCAACCAACCTCTTTCCCTCCCTTCCATTCATCTTCCTTTTTGTTTCTTTTATTTAAGGCCAAAGAGAGGAGGAAAGGGGACAGGAAGTGTCTACCGCTACCTTTGAAAGACTCCCCAGAAGGTCCTTACAGCACTTCTCCTTGTATTTCCTTGGCCTGCACATAGTCACATGGCCTCATCAAGCTGAAAAAACAGGGATGTCTTTTAGCTGGATGACAATATTTCTAGCTAAATATTGTCATTCTGTTACTAAGAAACAAGGAGAGAATAGACATTGGAGTACAACTAACAGTTTCTGAATTTTTAATCAGCTATGGCTGCTAAAAGGAGAAGGTAGAGAAAAGCTTTTCAGAGAAAGCTTTTTAGTTTACTATTTATGTAAGTCTGCTCATAAAGAAACCCAAAATTAGAATATTTTGTATGTAAATCAGTTTTCATCAACTTTTTTTTAAATGTATTTTTATTGATTTCGGAGAGGAAGGGAGAGGTAGAGAGAGATAGAAACATCAATTATGAGAGAGAATCTTTGATCAGCTACCTCCTACATGCCCCACACGGGGATCGAGCCCGCAACCCCGGCCTGTGGCATGTGCCCTAACCGAGAATTGAACCGTGACCTCCTGGTCCATAGGCCAATGCTCAATCACTGAGCCACACTGGCCAGGCCAGTTTTCATCAACTCTATTTTTGGTCTCAAGTTTACAAGATGTTAGCAAAATCTCCATGCTTTAGAGTGCTACTTGTAGAAATTCATGTTAAATTAGATTTCATAGGATTTACTTGCTATTTTTCTCCTGCCACATCACATATTTTAAACCAGTAGAGAGTTTGGGTTTGGGTTCTAGGACTATGCTTATAAATTTAGGATCAGCTAAAGTGTTAGCCTTGGGAGGGGGGAGCAGTGAGATGGTGGTGGAATCAGGAAGCTACTATTTTATAGAAAATTAATCCATAGTCAGCAGACTTTCTTTGTACATCTAATTCTGGTCACTGTTCCTGAGATTGATTCTTTCCCTGGACTATGAAATATAGTTCTAATGAAAAGTTTTATTCTTTGGAGATTTGAAAATTGCCTCACACAAGTCCTTTTCTTTCCAGGCTCTAAATTATCTTGGTATTCAGCCCACAAAGGAGCAACACCAAGCCCTGAGACAGCAAGTGGCAGTAGACCCACAGGGGACAGTGTCTTTTGGAGGTAATATTAGGTACATTGTGTTAATCCAGCAATTTTCAACCAGTGTGCCGAAACATTTTTGAAAACATGCAGTACCTGTCTATGTAGTCATGGGCCTGACCTCTTTTCTCTTAGATTGTCAAATTAAAAAATGACAACAGCCAACATAATAGCCGATGGTGTGAATGAATCAAAATTATACCTATTTTTTTGTCAGATGGCCAAAAAATATATTTTTTGGTGTGCCACAGGATTTTAATAATTACTTTATGTGTGCCATGAGATGAAAAAGGTTGAGAATCACTGTAATATCATCACAGAAAATTACTTAAAGGGTCATTGTGACTCATTTTTATTGAGTTCCTCTTCAGAAAGAGAGAGAAAAAAAGACCACATTTATTTCAAATTCCTCGATCAGTACTCTGAAAAACTCAGCTAGAATTCCTGGTTGGCAGTATCAGATAAATAGAAAAAGAAAAGGAATTCAGAGAAAGGGAAATATTGCAAGAGTGGAAGAAAACTTCAGGTAAACCATAATTAGCATGTTTAAAAAGATAAGCAAAGATAAAGAATTCGTGAAATAAGAGTAGGATACTGTCAAATAGGAACAATCGGAGAACATTAAAAGAATGCTTGGAAACTAAAAACGTTGTAGACAAAATAAAGACCTGTGAGGGTAGGTAGATGAATAGGTCACGCTCCACGTCTAAAGAAGCATCGGGCAGTGCTGGGTAACGATCAGGATGTGCCTCTGAGTCAGACCTTAGATGGAATCCTGTTCTGCTACTTATTTGTCAAGTGGCCTCGGGGATTTTAGCAGTTCACTTGTCATAGCCCCAGACAGAAAATTGAGAGGATAAGAGAACCTGCCTTGTAAAATTCTGAGGGTGAAATTGCAAAGCACCCGGCCTAGCATAGAGAGGCTTTACGTAAACATTAGCTGCCGATAGTATTATTGTTAAACCTGGGGTTCTTCCAGCTAGAAAAACTGTAAATCATGACATTGTCCTGTTTCAGAAAGGTTCTACTCATAATTTAAGGGTTGGAGGAATAGTTATGCCAGTGATATACATTTGCTTTGTAATTATCTTAACTGATGTTCTAACTTCAGCAAACTTAAAGGAAGTTAAAGCCAGTTTCTTTTTATTTGAACTTATATTTATCTGTCCCTTCAGTTAATACTATTTTAAGGCAACTTTGTTATAACACATAGCTTCAACTTCCTATAGGAGCTATATTTAGATGAGGTTAAATAGTTTCTTACTGAAACGTGTTCCATTTTAGATTTTGTCCAGGTTGCCCGAAACTTGTTTTGCTTGCAGTTGGATGAAGTAAATGTTGGTGCGCGTGAAATGTCCAGCATATTAGACTCGCAGGTAGAGTATTCCCTACAGAACTGTCTTGACTGTCTTGTCCTCAATGTTAAGGGTCATGTGTGTGGGCTTTTTTTCATTTTCATTGTGTTTTTTGTTGCTGTTGTTTTTAAATATATTAGTATTTGTATCGATTTCAGAGAGGAAGGAGAGGGAGAGAAAGATAGAAACATCAATGATGAGAGAGAATCATTGATTGGCTACCTCCTGTATCCTCCATACTGGGGATCGAGCCCACAACCTGGGCATCAGCCCTTGACAGGAATCTAACCCAGGACCCTTCAGTCCGCAGGCCGACGCTCTATCCACTGAGTCAAACCAGCTAGAGCTTCACTGTTTTTTTCTAAGTTATACAAATAATACATGCTTCTTGGATAAATTTACAAAATATAGATTAATTTAAAATCAAAAATAACATTTTGTCTTGATCTCCTCCATTGTTTTCTTTCTGCCAGACAGTCCTCAAACGTACAGAACCCACATTTGCTGAGAAAAGGCACGTACATGAAGTGGGGAATTCAGAGTACTTCGTGTGAGCATGCAAAGCTTTCCTAGCAGTTGCAAAGAAATAGTCATGCTCCAAATTAGTAATTAACTTCCTTCTTACCAATATGATTTTAGGGCAGATAAGCATGTATTCAGTCTGTGATACCTTGACAGCAAAAGCAAAATGCTCATGGTAGTTGTGCAAGTTCTTCTGCAGGCCAGCAATTTACTGTTTGTAGCTTCAGATCAAAGGTTGGACCATAGTCATTGTATTAATTTATAAGATTTCCAAAAAAAAAAAGATTTCCTTTATTGTATTGTACTTTTCAGCACATGGAAGATATCTCCATTAAATGTTGGCTTTTCAGTTTTTCCCCCTCAGATATCCTCAAAAAGAATGCATTTTACTTTACCACACTCACATGTAAACTTGAAACAAACGTCTCAAAGCATCACCTTTTCTACATCAAGGCATTCTTATTTAATATTCAGTTCCATTTGATTAAATTTTTGGTTTTACAATTCACTAATGAGTTTGTGCCACAATTTTGAAAATACTATAAAAATCCTTTGGGCAGCATGGATGGACCTGGAAAATATTATACTAAGTGAAATAAGCCAATACGAGAAAGACAAATACCACAGGATCTCGCTTATTTGTGGAATCTAATGAACAAAATGAATTGACCAATAATAAGACCCAAAGCATGGAGGCATGGAATAGACTGATATACCTCATTGTGTGTGCGGGGAGAGAGGGGCTTGGGGGGAGGGGGAAGGAGGGGGAGAGACAAGGAGAGATAAACCAAAGAACTTATACATTTATATTCATAGCCCATGGACATGGGCAATAGGTAGTGAAGATCTGGGGGGGTGGCCAGTGGCTGGGAGGAGTGGAATAAAGGTGGGGGGAGAAATGGGAGATATCTGTAATACTATCAACAATAAAAAAGATTTTTTTAAAAATGCTATAAAAACCATTGCTTGTCAAGCAACTCAGCAGAAACAAATAAAAACTATTTCATTATTTTGTAGTATATTGTTTTTTGAGTTAAACAACAGTAGAATACCTTGTCTGAAGTTTATCAATTGATCTGTGGTTAGGATGCTGACAGTCTGTAAAGGTGGGGAAATTCCACTATGGTTACCCCCTCAGTTATTTTGTCACACACACGTACAAAAAAATCAGATTTTATAATCCATCTGTTAGGGATGCTTTTTGCTTTCTTTTACTCACATGTGTCCATTTTTTGGGTTGTCTTTTTCTTGATTTATTTCTTTAAAATATTTTTACTGGTGCATTATGGACACACAGTAAAGTACAAAACTCTCAATTGTACAACTTGATGAATTTCTGTTCGTGTCTCATGTGTAATCACCACTCAAAAGGCTCCTTCGTGCGAACTTTCCAGTCCACCGTGGCTCCCACTTTCACAATGGAGCAAACCACTCATTTGATTTTTGTCAGTATAGATTACTTTCGCCTATTCTTGAACTTCATTAGTAGAATCATGCAATGTGTATTCTTTTGGAACTAGCTTCTTTTGCTTATCATTTTGTCTGACTCAAAAGATTTCTTGAGATACTGTCTTTTAGGAAGGAAGAATTGCTGAGTCATTATAAGTCAGTCCTACTTTTGTTTAGTTGACAAAAAACATTGGGTTTGAGAATAATATGGCATTTAGAACCAAAAATATAATGATCTTACTGTTGTTCTAATTATCATTGGTATATAAAAAATTTACATATTGCCGCACCTGCTGCTGGTCCAGAGTTACACACAGAAAAGGGAAGTTTGGAACATCCTAGCTCCCCTTAATATAATGGGTTTACCACATTCATTAAGTACCATAAACAGATTATCTTAAAATCACAGAGAGAATATGCTAAATTCCCTAATGTAGAAGTTTCAAAATTTAGCTTCTTGCTAAATCAGTTTGGTGGATTGCAACCACCATTTCAACAAGTGAAATAGAATAGAGTGGAAAATACCAAGGTGAACTGTATGTGATACTGGCTCATGATATAAATGATATTCTCACTATGTGTAGCAGTAAATATTAAATTAGAAGTGTGCACTTTACTAACAGTCAGGAACCATTAGGGAGAACAGAGACATCACCAAAGTAATATTTTATTTTATTTTTTTAATATATTTTATTGATTTTTTACAGAGAGGAAGGGAGAGAGATAGAGAGTTAGAAACATCGATGAGAGAGAAACATCGATCAGCTGCCTCCTGCACATCTCCTACTGGGGATATGCCCGCAACCCAGGTACATGCCCTTGACCGGAATCGAACCTGGGACCTTTCAGTCCGCAGGCCGACGCTCTATCCACTGAGCCAAACCGGTTTCGGCCAAAGTAATATTTTAGAAATAATGATCTTATAATCATGTTGGTTATCTCAGAAGAGGATGAAACTGGTGGTAGATAGTCTAGGTAGGGGACAAAGAAGAGTCCAAATATAGAATAATAAGTAAATAGAGGAGGCGGGTGTAGTATGGTCAGATAACTTGAGGAAATGCAACCATTTATTAAATTATATTTCCTTTTGGGATGTTCAAAATGCTTATTAGCATATAAAGGCTATTGGAACATGGCAGGAAAGTTAATTTTTCAAGTCTTATATTTCTCTAAGATTGTCCTTGTTTTCTACCTTTCAATTATCTGTAAGAGAGATTGTCAGCTTTGCTATTTTTGTTGTTATTCACTTGTGCATGAATTATTAATATTATCTTCAATACACAGTTTCTGTGCAGAAATCTTTTTAAGCCACTTGACTGTTATGCTACATTGTGTTTAATTAAAGCAAGACACAAGCTCAATTAATGTACTTTACTGGGTTTAGATAAACAATCTTGGTTTATAATGCCCACTATCTTGTTAGCCTTGGAGACTATGTGCTTGGTTGGAGTGGATGTATTTAGGGAATAGTTTATGTTGATAGCTCATGAAGTTGTTTTAATATTATAAACACACTCTTGAACCCTAACTGGTTTGGCTCAGTGGATAGAGCGTCGGCCTGCAGACTGAAGGGTCCCAGGTTACATTCCAGTCAATGGCATGTACCTTGGTTGCCGGCACATCCCCAGTAGAGGGTGTGCAGGAGGCAGCTGATTGATGTTTCTACTCTCTGTCCCTCTCCCTTCCTCTCTGTAAAAAATCAATAAAATATATTTTTAAAAAATAAACACACTCTTGGAATTTGGACTTTTAAGGAAAATTATATTGTTAAATAAGAATCATAAAGATGACAACAGAGTGTGTATATCTGATCATCATCTAAATTCTGTTATAACAACAATATAAGATTAAGTATAAATGGGTGAAGTTACCCCAGATTACGTTAACATTCTCTTTTACCCGATCAAATGACTCCTAAGCCTTGTCAAAAAGGATTTCTGTGTTAGTTCTCATAATCAGCATGTAACGTATAATTTTCTCTTGTATTTTAATGTTGACAGTTTATTGCCTGTGATTCCTTAGAAGCAAATGATGTGGAAAGGCTTAAGCGTGAAAGAAATGATGCCTTAGAAGAAGTGAATGCACTTAAGGTAATCTCCAATTTAGCTTTCTTACATTTTCTCTAGAAAAAAAGAAAAAGGAAATTATCTTGTGTTGAATTCTGAAGTATTGGGGCTTAGTTTTATTTTTAATTAATGAATGTTAATATGAAATAGCTTAATGTCAATTTTGGTCAGTATTGAATATTAATGTCATAATTGCTATTTATTTCTTCAGTTGATCCTTAGAGAGTTAATCTTTTAGTTCACACAGACTTTTCATTTATATTTTACAGTATACGTAAGATTCAGTGTGAACAGTGGTTTTTACTTGTAACTTTTGATTTGGCTACTTCTCACCCTTTTTATTTTTTCTCACATTGGTGGCAAGGATGAGGAGCCCACAAAACATGCCATGACAATTTTGGGTCCTCAGATGTTCATTGGGAAAAACATTTTCTCCCCTGTTCCTAGGCGTGCCTCTGGGATACCTTGGTATGCTAACATAATTTGGAATAAAGGCAAAATCATTTGAGGAAAGAAAAACCATATAATATATCCCAAATATACATTAAGATTTTGATTCTCTTTATATGTTTTCATTCTGTGTTTAGTAGAATATTAAGTTTCAGTTATATCCTTATTTTTATAGTAAGCCATTAATGTTTTTAAATCTTCAAGAAAAGCAACATAACTCCTTGATTTATTATTAAGTCAACATAGCTCTATATTTTAGTATTATTTTAAAATATTGCCTTAAATAAGTGAACCTCTATTATTTATTTAAGTTTTATTAAAGCAAAATCATTAAACTCATAAAAAGAAAGAAATTCCCTTGCTACCTTAATTTCTAAATTTCAATCTCTAGAGGAAGCCATTGTTAAACATATCTTATTTATCCTTTTGTAGACTTCCTCTAGATAGCCATTTGTATTTCTAAAAAATGAATGTATGTTCAGGTATCCCCAAAAAAGTATACACACTTTGAATACTAATAATTATTAATTCCAATGGGTTAAATTTGAAAAGAAGGGACTATCAATTGAGCTGTCAAAAAGGTATATGTATACATTTTGGGGAATGCCCTATATAAAAATATATTAACTATACATAAAATATATAAATATATGTTATATAAGTATATTAATATATTTTCAACTTTTACAAAATCATTTAATACAAGGTACACTCTTTTACAACTTGCCTGCTTTATTCTCTTTGTCAACATGTGTTGGGCTACTTTTCTAGTTAATATACTAGTACACAGATATGCCAAATTCTTTTTAATGGCTCTCCTATCATCACATGGTTCTGTCTTATGTTATTTAGCCAGTTTCTTAGTGATGAATAGGTAGGCTATTTTAAGTTTTCCATTATTAAAATTAATTCCATCATAAATTGCATTATAGATATATCTTTGCATGATTGTGCAGTTGTAAAAGTACAAATGGAATAAATTACTGAAAGTGAAATTGTTTTCTCAAGGGATACAGACATATTAAAATTTTATGTGTGTTACCAAATTCTCTATCAAAAGGCTTTAGCAATTCATGTTTCTTCCAAATGTATGTGAGCATTACTAAAGAAGTATTTTCTATACTTTTTATTATAACTTAAAACCATTGTCTTTCCACATTTTCTGGTATAAATTTAGTTTTAAAAATACATTTAGTTTTAAAAATAGATTGACAATAGTTCTTTTACATCCTTGTAGAAAATATCTCCACTATTGGTTACCTTGGTAAAATAACATTTTTATAAAGTTTGTCTCTGTAGATACCATTAAATTTATGGTTCATCAGAATTTCCAGAGGCTCTCAGATCTTCTTCATTCCCTTAATGTTTATCATTGCTAAATTTAGTGATACATTTAGTGACTATCAACCTTATTATTAGAATTGTAATTTAAAACTATACTTATGTAACATTTAAACAAGCTCCTCTGAGGAGCTGTTCAGTAAATCAGAATTCATATTTAAGCTTTATGAAATATAACTGAACATATCCTAGTGTGAAATTTCCTTTACCTCAAAACCTATCTATTGGCTGAGAACCACTTGTCTAGCTATATAAAAAGAGTATATACAGCAATAAATATTTTTATTTGCGATAAAATATTGTTTGTACTTAGTTATTCTACTTAAATTATACACACACAAAGAAATAGACATTGTTAAATGAAGTTCATAGAGTGTGTGAGTAGTCTCTCATTGCTTCTCATTATCCTGTGACATCTCTAATCTTTATGTCTGATTTAAGGTATAAACAAAAATGAAACCAAGATAATTTGATGCTAATGTCTAATTTTATTTTGTGAGAATGATTTTTTAAAATATTTTTTAATTGGTTTTTTACAGAGAGGAAGGGAGAGGGACAGAGAGTCAGAAACGTCGATGAGAGAGAAACATCGATCAGCTGCCTCCTGCACAGTCCCCACTGGGTATGTGCCCACAACCAAGGTACATGCCCTTGACCGGAATTGAACCTGGGACCCCTGAGTCCGCAGGCCGACACTCTATCCACTGAGCCAAACCGGTCAGGGCGTGAGAATGATTTTTTGAAGTGCTGTGGCTTTATTTAACTTAAAGCCTTTCTGCAGAGTTCACATTGGTACTGCTTTGCAAAGCTGAATGGAAATAGCTATATTTTCCATTTACAGATGCAAAAAACTAGGACAGAAAGAGTGAAGGTGACTTGCCAGAGCATAAAGGCATGGCAGCCAGCAGTCTCCTGGCTCCTGGTCTGTGGCAGATGCATAAGATTGCTACAGTATATTCATCTCCGTATACCTTCACTTTATCTCTTAGACGAGGATGAGTCGAAATATTCCACCAAGCAGATCATTTCTTACAGACATTGCAGTGTTGCCATGAGTATTTACTACTCAATTTAATCTCCAAGCAATTCCTGTTTAAGTTTATAGTAAAATGGTTCCTAAATTATTCTTAGTATATCTGATTTGATCAATAAAATGTGGACTTATTTATGATATACTTAAAAGTGAACATTTTAAGGTATATGCTCAATTTTAAGTTCAAAGATGATAATATTTGGTGGCATGCATAATATTCTGTTTTAAGAACTACCATTTCATATTTTGGTTATACCAGTCGTATCTTAATTTTTATGGATGATCTTCCAAGAATAAGCTAAATTAGAAAAATGATATTCAACTCAGTTTCATGTCCTCTTTAATATAGTAAGAGAGACTTCTGAATTATAATAATGCTCTTCAATTTGGAAGCACTTTGACAATGATAGTTATTACCCAAAATTTAGTTAATATTTACATATTTTGAACTTGACTGACTTTGGACCTCAGATTCTGAGACTTTACAACATGTCTAAAGAGAAAATACATTTTCATCACAATTCTGCTGTAAATAACTAATTACTTTCATATGGTATTTATAATAATAAAAGGGTAATATGCTAATTAGACTGGACGTCCTTCCGGATGAAGCTGGGTCAAAGGGAAGCCCGGGTCCCGGATGCCAGAGGGAAGCTGGTGCCGGCAACCAGGGGAAGGAAGGCCTACTCTTGCATGAATTTCATGCATTAGGCCTCTAGTATATATATGTGTGTGTGTGTGTGTGTGTATAGCCAGAAAAGTGATGGAATTACATTTTCAGATAGTAGCAATGGCTATTTGGGGAATTTATAAATTTGAAAACAAAGTTCTAAGAATGATACCCATTCATATATTTATAACAAATTATTAATTTAGTGGTTTTTAAATATAGGAAAAATTATTTGAATCAGAAAGACAAAGGAAACAATTGACAGAAGAACTCCAAAATGTGAAACAAGTAAGTGCATGTATTGTCTATATGTGTTTTGTGTGTGTGTGTAAACATATGAGGTATAGTTGTAGAGCAATGATGCTGTATAACATCCTAGAGTTGATGTACTTGTCCTGAAGGACTGTTACTACTGCTCAAAAAATGATAAAACTTCTCTCAAATTACTTTCAAAACCAGATATCCATGGGCTGAAATGATCATTCTCATTGCTTTTCCATTCTTTTCTTTCTCTTATATTTTTCCCTTTTCATCTGTTACTCATACCTCATATTATTAAAGATAAAAAGAGACAAGCAATAAATTAAATAACCCTGCAAGACAGAGCATTTTTTACATTTATTTTTTTAGTAATAAAAGGTAAAAATTTAGGCCCTGACCGGGTAGCTTAGTTGGTTAAAGCATTATTCCGATACACCAAGGTTTTAGGTTCGATCCCTGGTCAGGGCTCATACAAGAAGTAACCAATGAATGCACAAATAAGTGGAACAACAAATCAGTGTTTCTCTCTCTCTCAAATCAATCAGTAAAATCTTTTTTAACAAGTAAAAATTTATTTTCACTTTGCATCATTTTTCAAAGAATTTTAGGAAGCTTACAACAAAACAGATACAATGACATTATCATAAAACAGATATACAGATAACAAACAAGTAAAATAATCAGAGTAGAAATTTAAGAGAACATTGGTAGAGATCAGTGGCATCACCTGGCTTTGAATCTCCCCAACATCATCCCCCTGGAAAACATAAAGCCACTAGTGCAAATAAAATCAGCCAGGACCCATACCTTCAATAGGACTGTGTGACAGAGAGCACCGGCCTGCAGGCACATTTAAAAATGTGCTTTAAACAACCAGACAAAGCTTTGCAGCTCGCTAGCCACTAGAACCTGGAACTCAAAGAGCAGAGCAGGTGGGGCTTCAGATGCTAGAAAAGAGCTGGGAAACAGAGCAACTCAAAGTACAAATAGTCACCCCCAGAAAGAGAAAACGGAGCAATCGATGCCAAAGTCCTGAGCTAGGCCACGACTCCGTGGTCCTCAGGACTCGAGAAAGTGTGTGTAACCTGAAGTGTCAGCCTCACGAGTCTTGGCTTCTCAGGGAGAATCATAAGCAGAGAAGAGGTGGTACCCCTGGGAGATGAGGAAAGGAAGAGAGAGGAGGACATCGAATACCCCTCTCCAGTACTGTGTGAACTTGAATCAAGCGGGGAAAGAAGGACTGGAAACACAGAAAGTAAAGAGATTCTTTTAAAAATGTGTGTGTGTGTGTGTGTGTGTGTGTGAGAGAGAGAGAGAGAGAGAGAGAGAGATTCTCCAGAGATCTCTCTTCTCAACAATGTCATCAGTTTGACTCAAATAAACTTTTATGAAAATTAAAAAAGGAGTGGCCTATGTAAGGGGGAGAAATAAGGATCTGGCATAAATGAAGGAAAATAAGACTTGTCAGACCTCCTCCATCTACCCGCTCCACAGCCATCCACAACATGATCCATAGAGGAAATTGCACAGAAGAGGGTGCTGTTGAACCGGGAACTCTTTCTATGCAAGAAGTGGACTAGGGAAATAAATCTGTCCCCAAGATTACAAAACAATGGTAAAAATCAGGCAATATGAAGTAAAGCATTCCTCAGACCATTAATTAAATGTGGTCCTCTTCAGAACATTCCAAGCACAAGGCCAACCAAAACTACTACAGCACTCCAAACTCAAGTATCCTTAAGCAAGCATTTGGCATTAAGAATCAGAAATTTAAAAACTAAGACTAGAAATTGAACAAAACAAAAACAACCCTCGAAGAAATGAAATGAGAGTTGATAAAACTTAGGAAAGAAAAAAAAAATTAGGAAAACACAAAATCATATTAGAAAAGAAAACTAAATTACAAGTTGCCCTCGGAAGAATGTACTAGTATTCAAATGAAAAGGCATGAAAGAAAACTAGAAAAATAACCAGGGAAATTAGAATGAAATAAATAAAAGAGTTTCTTGAAGTCAATAAAAGCAACTGGACAGCACTACTATTTAGAACCATAATCCAAGAAAACTTTCCAGACATAAAGGAAGACCTGAATGTTATTGGGTATTGGGGCCCGGAAAGATCAGCTCTAGAACATAAAGTAAAACTATGAGACTTTCAAAAAAGAGTGCCTCCAAGTGAAAAAAGATCAAGTAGCTTACAAAGGCCAGCATCAACCCTCTCAATAGAGCATGTAAAGCAGTAGTAGAGCAACGTTTTCAAGAAACTAAAGGAAAGAAAGTATAAACCAAAAATATAGTGCAGGGGCAAGCTGGCACTCAGATGTCAAGGCTGTAGGAGCACGGCTCGTATAGTACACATGCATGGTTTCTCAGGGGAATTGAAGCCAACCTTTGGCAACCAATCCCCAAGCTACGTAAGTGGCTGCAGAGCATATAATCATGACCCCAGTATTTGTGTTCAATGTTTGACAGGCTAGGATTGAGTTGGAAAAGAATTGCAAACAAATCTTGAACTATTTTAAGGGTGTTTGTTTTAGGGGTATGGTCAAAACAGTCCTGAAACAATTTTAAGATGTATTATAGGTTTCAGAACATGGGTTGATCGTTGTTGAAGTCCAGAATCTCAATGAAAAAGCAAAGACATAGAAAATAGAATGAAGGAGGTCAAGAAAGAATTTTGTGGAATGGACTAGAATTGGAGGTATTGTTGTGAGTGCATAGTTTCTAAAATATATGTATATGTGCGTATATGAATGTATATGTGCACATGAGTATATGTATGTATGTAGATAATATTTGTGTGCATGTGTGTGTGTGTGTCCATAGTTCTGTCAACTAAGGAGCCAAGAAGCAAATATTCTAATAGCATAACCAAGTGCCCAGATTCCAGTCCCCACTGAAAGGAACCCTTGGAAAATGCCTGATTTCCGGTCTGGGGGAGGGTACGTACAAGATGAGCCTGGAACATGTTATACCAGAAAATAAGGAAGTCTTCACAGTGCAGGGAGCATGTCACAAGAAACCAGCTTGGAGGGGCTCCCATTGGCCAAATCTGGAAGTACTTGAGACCAAGATAATTAAGTACAGTAGTGAATTACAAACCATCAAAAAAGAAGTAATTCAGGAGTCCATACAATTTTATTTGGAGGAAAGGAGGGCTCTTTGCTTGTTATCGTCGGTTGAGTGCCAGCCAGTAACTGCGGAGTGGCTGTTAGATTTGGGAAATCGGCATTCTGCATCTGTTTTAGTAAAAACTTGGATCAGACAAGAATCATCAGATACTAAATCTAGGGAGAAATTTTGATGAAGAGCAGAATATTTATACATTAATGACTTTAATGTTGCTCTCTAGAAATTGCTTATTGTAAGCGGAAAATAGTAACTACCCAGTAGTGAAATCAGACAACTCCATCACGTGTTAAAATTTGATATCAGATGGGCATGTGTGACTTCTTTTTTTTAATTTCCATCTTTTGTTTCTTCATTTAAAAGCAAAAATTGAACATACTTATTTATTTTTAATGTTAATTCATTTGTGTGTGTTTTTTGTTTTTGTTTCTTTATTGTTGAACATATTACATAGTTCCTCCTTTTCCCCCCATTAACCTCCTCCAGCCCGCTGCAGTCCTCCCCCCCGTCACCCCAGCCCCTCACCACTCCATTGTCCTGTCCACTGGTTATGCATATATGCATACAAATTCATTGCGACAAGTGTTGGCAATGTTGTGGAGAAACGGGAACCCTAGTGTGGGTGTGACTTCTAATGCGACACCTTGAGAAGGACAAAACAGCACCTTGTAGCATTATGACTAAGAATGTATAACCTGGACCTGGCTAGGAGGAAATGCCAGACAAACCTAAAAGGAGGGACAGTTTTATTTTTTTAAAGGGGTGTGTGTGTGTGTGTGTGTGTGTGTGTGTATGTGGCTGTATTCTTCAGAAATGCCAATGCTATAAAAAAAATAGAAGAAAGGTGATAAAAGGCTAGGTTCCAGGTTAAAAGAGGCTAAACATCTCTGAACACTAAATACAATCCTGACCCTAGACTGGATCCTGCACTGGAATGGGGGGAATGCTGTAAAGGATACAATTGCATCAACAAACAAAATTGGAATGCAGTGGATCAATGTTAAATTTCCTAAATTTGGTAATTATAGTGTGGTATGTAAGAGACTATCTGCTGTACTGAAGTGTTTAGGGGTAAAGAGACATGGTGTCTGTAACACCCTCAAATGGTTAAGAAAAAAATTAGGTGTGTGTCTTTATTTATGTGTATTATCTATACAGTACACACATGTACATGTGTGTGCCTATGCTTGTGTATATATAAAAAAACACTGCAGAATTTTGCCACTTTGCACCACTTCCATCCTTGGTCCAGCTATCACAGCTCCTGCCTGGGTTGCAGTTATTGCTGCCCACCAGATCACCCTGCTTTTACCCTGCCCCGCCCCATACAGGCAAATCAGATCACAGCGGCCAGAAACATCCTTTTAAAACTGAAGTAGAACTCTCCAGGACTTTCCATCTCACGCAGAGTGAAAGCCAAAATCCTGCAAGTAAATGACAAGGCCTCCAAGAGCCTCCTCGATCTGCCATCTTAGCCCCATCCCCACCCTCCTCTAATGGCAGTTACTTCATCGCTCACCACCCCTCCCCCTTCTCTCCCTACTAATTCTCCAGCACCTCTGACCTTTGCACCATCACCCCACTAGCCCTCCAACTCTCACTGTGTATGGAGAAGTTTGTTGGCGTTACTGATTGCTCTCTTACGTATTATAAACTTGTTACGTTACTGCTAATGAAAGAGTTCCAATGCTTTAGTGAGAATAACTACCTCTCCATTTTTTTCAAGGATTAATATACTTTTTCACAATGAGCAAAAGAGCCTTTAAAAATTACAATTAGAGCCCTAGCCGGTTTGGCTCAGTGGATGGAGCATCGGCCTGCGGACTGAAGGGTCCCGGGTTCGATTCCGGTCAAGGGCATGTACGTTGGTTGCGGGCACATCCCCAGTAAGGTGTGTGC